TCTGTGTTTCATGGGAGAAGGAAAGAACTTACAAACACTGAGATCTATTTTGTATTTAGGCAGAAGTATATTGATGTCTGAAAATCCCTTTGAAATGTAACAAAAACTAAGGTGTATTGAAAAAATGGATAAAATGAGAAACCAATAAACATTCGAGTAACAAAGCAAGTACAGCATAGTGTTGATTATAAAAACATATGGTGAGTATGTGTATTCATTATAAAATTGTGTTCTCTATTCCTAATGCTTAATAATAAAATGGTATATTTTTGAAAAAGAGCAATCTCTAATGTGTAGTTACATGGAAAAAGTAAAATATCAATCAATATTAATGGCATGCTTCCAAACACATTCAGGGAGGTTCTATCAGTTTTTATCTGTTCATGCTCTCTGGCTGGGCAAACTGATGGCCTTTAGGGAAAGATACTGAGGTTAAGTAAAGTTTGGGGGTAGAAAGAAATGTTTTATATAATCCTCTTAACTATTAAATAGTGTACCAAAAATATAGATTGCTTTAATGAACTGAAACAACTATATTTTAATGAAAGCGATTTTTGATTTTTTATAGTTTCCAGACCATCACTTATCACTATTTAAGTCTGATGAGTGTCTTATCACTCTGCCTACTTCACAAAACCCTGGAGACCAAAGTCACTCGTCTGCATAGGTCCCTGGGAGGTTAAGTGGGGCTCTGTACAGTGTAAACAAGTGCTCCTTAATGGAATCAGGTCCCAGTGACAAGATGGTGCCCTCTGCTGGCCCTACCAGACACACCCATTGCATTCAAATCTGGCTGCAGTTTCAGAGAGAGGCGCCGGGTGGGAAATCATTGGTAATCAGAGGTTGTTTATTTTCACAGGCTTATTAGAAACTGGTGCTCAGAAAACCCACCCAGAGTCCTGTAAGAGTCTTCAGGGGACCAGGTTGGTCAGTCTCTAAACCCCCTGAGGCCTTCTGCTTGTTGGTATTTAGGGATGCATGCATGTACGTACAATTCGTTTATCTATCTGCCGCTTCCTTGTCTGTTTACTCATCTATTTACGTTTTTCGAAACAATGTCTTACTGAGTGACCCAGGCTGGCCTGGAACTCATGAATCTCCTGGTTCAGCCTGTGTTAGTCTTGTTCCTCCACTCCTGGCTACATGTGGGTCTCTCTCTCTCTCTCTCTCTCTCTCTCTCTCTCTCTCTCTCTCTCTCTCTCTCTCTCTCTCTCTCTCTCTCTCTCCCATCTGTTGACATTTGTAATAAACCCAGTGCTAAGCTTGAAGTAAAGCTTCTATTGTTACTTGGCAACAACTATGATCAAGTTCTCAAATTTCATTAAAGCTTTTGGTGGTTTGGTGAATACCTGAGTTAGACTGGCTGCCTAAACCCCACTGTCCATTCCATTCCTTCCTAGTGAGTATTGTGCTATCTTAAGCTTTGTTTTTGAGGGTGAGATCATGTATTTACCCTTCCATATTGGAGGGTTCCCAGCTCCGTGGAAGCAAGAAGGGATTAACAAAGAAAGCACTGCTGAATTAACAGGTCAAGGTGTGTCTGGTCTTAATGCATTTACTATATCTGAACTGGCTGGATCCTTCAGAGAATTAAAATGATAACGAGCCTTACCCAACGAGCTGGGGGCCAAGGGACAAACAAGACCATTAAAACAACAACAACAAAAACCAGGGTCTCATGTAGGCCCAATCAATTGTTTCTATTCAAAAGATGTATGTATATCTGTGATGTATGTCAGTCAGCCTTCTCCAACTGTAACAAAATATGCAAAGAAAAATTAACTTAAGGTTTGTTTGGGTTCGTGGTTTCAGACGGTTCGGGTCAGATGGATCCGTTACTTCAGGCTGAGGAAAGGTGGCCAAAGCATCGGGCAGAGGAGGCTACTCACCTCACTGTGGCCAAGAAACAGAAAGAAAGATAAAGGCAGGGAGGGTCTAGGGATAAAACACATCCTTCAAAGGCATGCTGCCATGACCTGCTACCTTCAACATGGCCCTCCCTTCTACTTAATTCAGCTATGAACTCATCAATGGACCAGTCTGTTAATAAAGTCAGCATCCTCCTGGTCCATTCACCCCTCAATGAGCATTTGGGGTGCAACTTTATGTCCAAACTGCAGCATGCTTTAACAGGAACCACCGATGCTGAGTCTATGCCTATTGGGTCTTCATTGGGCGATGGAGGGTTAGCATCTTGGTGCAGTAGTATACCCATTACTTCCTCGCTCTGCCTCGTATGGCGACACCTTTATTTGGGGGGGGGTTGTAATATCCTTTGTCACCTTGCTGTCTGAATACCAGTCGTCCCTCATGATGCCAAACAAGAGGAAATATTCCATCTAACCATCTCTCAGGGAAGAGCAGAGTGACGCTTGCAGAATGTCAGAGGCGTTTTCATGAAGTTATCACTAGAAGTGTCCCCCAAAAGTATTTGGTGGGGGCATATAGTAGTTAAGAATCAGGGTTCTAATTGACCCCGCCCCTCCCATCTGTGTTCCCCGTTCATTTGAAACAGGGTCCCATTTAGCCCGAGCTAGTGGCCTTGAGTTCTCTGTATTTGGAAGTGACCTTGGATTCTTGCTTCTCCTGCTTCTACATCCAGTCCGAGTCCTGCTAAAGATACCGAACTACACCCCCAGCCCCTGCATTCATTAAGTTTCTGACCTTATCCATAATGTGGAAATTATCACAGTAATTATTTCAGGTTATACACGTTGTAACTTTCTTACTTTGAGTCTTCGACAACAGTGAGCAGTACACACCAAACACCCTAAGCCACAGTTAATAAAGGAGATCCAGATCCACAACCACAACACTGCAGAACTAACTAAAAAATTAACAGAGATAAACACGTCAAGAACCTATTATCTCATCTGCTTGTCACTCCATCATCCCTATCTTGGTTGTTTTTTGTTTGTTTTGGGGTTTTGGTGGTGGTGGTGGTTTGGGTTGTTCTTCTTCTCAACTAGACACAACCTAGGACCATCTGGGAAGAGGAAACCTCAGTGAGAAAATGCCTCCTTCGTGTTTGCCTGCAGGCAAGTCTGTGAGGTCGTTTTTTTTTCTTGACTAATGATGGATGCTGGAAGGACAGTGCCACCTTTGGGAAGGGGGTTCCAGCTGCGTAAGAGAGTAAGGTGAGCAGTCCACAAGGAGAAGGCAGTAAGTAGCACTCCTCCACGCTTCTGTTTCTGTTCCTGGTTCCAGATTCCTGAGTTGAGTCTCTGCCCTGATGTCCTGAGATTTGGAAGATGCAAATAAACCCTTCCCTCCCCAAGCTGCTTTTGATCGTGGTGTTTCTCACTGCAATAGAAACCCTAAGACAGGGGCCGGGCAGTGGTGGCACACGCCTTTAATCCCAGCACTCGGGAGGCAGAAGCAGTCGGATCTCTGTGAGTTCTAGGCCAGTCTGGTCTACAGAGTGAGTTCCAGGACAGCCTCCAAAACAATACAGAGAAACCCTGTCTCGAAAAACCAAAAAAAAAAAAAAAAAAAAAGAACCCTAAGACAGTCCCCTAAGATGAAGTGAGAATAATGGACACAGGGAGTAATGGAACTCAGTAGAATCTGTCAAAGGCTAAAGATACTGTGGTGGTTAATTTTATCGGCTTGATTGGATTTAAAAAAAAAAAAAAACCTCTTAGGACATTAGTGGGGCATACTCCGGGAATGTCTACCGGTGTTTCCAGAGATGATTAACGGAGAAGGAATACTTGCCCTGGCTGTAGGCAGTCCGTCATGTGAAAAGCTAGGTGACACTGACATTCTCCTTTCTCTGCTCCCTGATCTGCCACATCTTTCCTGTCACAAAAGACCTTATTCCCTTAAACCCTTAGTGGAAACAAATCTTTCCTCCCTTAAACTGCCTTAGCCATTGTCTCATCAAAGTCACAGAAAAGTAACTAAAGCAGACGCTAAGCTGATGAGAACAAAAGGGAAGAAAAACCTTAGTGAACACTGGCCATTTGTATTCAGGGCAATAAAAACTTTCGCATCTATTCGTCTCTCAATAAAAACCTACACTAGATTTTATTCGCTTCTCGGGATTCTTCATTCAATCCATAAAAACTAGGAGAAAGTACATGTAAGATGTTCAGGGCGCTGAATAGTCTTTGAAGTACACAAGTCACACAAGTCACCACTACTATCTAGTACTAGGATGTCTGTCACTATGTGAGAGCCCCATTAACTCCTCTACGCTACCCCTATCCTGGCCCTGGCAACCTCCAGACTCCTTGCTGTTTCCTCCAGCATATTTTTGTTGTTGTTTTCTGTTTTTTTGTTTTTCGAGACAGGGTTTCTCTGTATTGTTTTGGAGGCTGTCCTGGAACTCGCTCTGTAGACCAGGCTGGCCTCGAACTCACAAAGATCCGCCTGCCTCTGCCTCCTGAGTGCTGGGACCAACGCCTGGCCCTCTAGCATATTTTCTAATAATGAAAGTGAATAAGATAGCTGGCTCTTATCGAATAAAACTTCAGAATGGTGTGTTAACAGAATTATGGGTTATCTATTCAATAAAATGTTGCAAAGATTTTAGAAATAAAATGGGGCTGATAACATATAGTTCAGAGGGTTTGTTTAATCTATGAAAGGCCCTGAGTTTGACCCCTAAACAGAAATTACTCTGGTAAAGACTTCATCACCAAGTGAAAGATATGCCACCTAATTTCTAAAGCTTTTTTAAGTTTCAAAGTAATGAATGTACACTAGCATGAACCAGAGTATGGTCTGTTTCGTGAACAGCCTAGAATTATAAAACTTTTACATGGTGTCAATATAATTACTAATCTTCATTTTTCCCTTATCTTTTAAATACTCTATAAATGAAACTAATGCAATTGATTTCAAATTACCGGGTTAGGGAATTAAAGAACGCAGACTGCAGACAGTCCAGACTCTCTGACTTATACCTAGTGCTGATCACAGTTATCAGATCTCAAGGTCACAACCTCCTCAGGCAAGCAAGAGCCTTAAGCTATAAAGATCCCAGCTCTCCCTTCAGGAGCACAGCCAGGACCTCATGCTGTAGGCACTCCGACCCACACCCAGAGGCCCTTTGCCTCTTACCCCGTCCCTCTCCCTCGCCAAACTCACACCTTAAGAAAATGTATACCAAGGACTCCTCGCCAACTTCCTTCTGGTGAAGCATTAACGGAGGGTGTACGTCTGGATTCCAGCTACACTTTCTCCATACGGGCTGAACGGTAAGGAGACGGGCACAAACAAAAGGGATCCCTTGGTGCCGGCAGAATACCAAGCTGTCCTCCTCGTTCCCACTCCTGCTTTATGTGGAGCTGCACCTCACATGGACACTCCAGCCTTTCATGCCGCCCCATTTCCTCCGGAGCAAGCTGGGGCAGGGGTTCACTCAAAAGTCCCACCACAACCCACAAAACGCTACTCAGTATGTTCTTTCTCAAATCTATATTCTCTCTCTGTCTCTCTTTCCCTGTCTCTCTGTCTCTCTGTCTCTCTGTCTCTTTCCCTCCCGCTTTCTCTCTCTCCCTCCCCCCCCTCATCTAGGCCCACAACTCTTCTTGGAGACCCTGGATGATATTTGTGTCCCCATCTCTCCCGGGTCTGTCCATTGCTAAGGCAGCGAAGGAACAGAGTCCCCTCTGTTCCGACTCTGGGACACAGCAAGGCCCCAGCCACCTCCCAGCCTCCTTCTCTCAGCCAGACCCACAACTAGAGCACCCGAGTGAGCACAGTTCTCGATCTCGGCCTCATGAAGCTACCCAGTGTCAAGAATCCCCTCACTTTCGGGGATTCGAGGAAGATTGAAAAGAGTCACTTGTCTTGAGAAACTCAAAGTGGAAAATACTATATAACCAGGCAAAATGCTGGAGCAGAGAACGGAGAAGGGTGTGGTTATGCGGTGGGTGCAGACTTCAAAGCAGGCTTCATCTAGGAGTTGGATTTCTTTTTTTTTTTTTTTTTTTTTTTTTTTTTTTGGTTTTTCGAGACAGGGTTTCTCTGTGGCTTTGGAGGCTGTCCTGGAACTAGCTCTTATAGACCAGGCTGGTCTCGAACTCACAAAGATCCGCCTGTCTCTGCCTCCCGAGAGCTTAGGAGTTGGATTTCTAAGAAGCCAGTTTTACCTGAGCTTGGAAACAAGAGCACACCTCTCTCCCCCAGACAAAGAATCCACAGACACTGCTGCGGAGGCCCCAGGCGCCCACTGTGATTCCCACCAGGGCTCCCTCTGTACCCAGCAAGGTAAATACGCCACAGTCTGTGCTCCAGTCAATCAGGAAAGACGGGTACAAAACAGATCAGCAAGGTATTTGTGCTTAGGATTGTGATCAACACCCAAGACGCTTTGAGTAAGACGAGGGAAAGACTAACTCCCGGATTCCAGTCCTAAGTACAAAGGCCTTGGAGAGGAGGAGGGGACAGGGCTTTAGTGGTGGGTGAAGGGGAAGCTAAGGCCGTGAACCTAGAAAAACTAGGCTTGAAGGAAGGGTTGGGGCAGAAGAGAGGGTGGGGCAAGTGGGCCCCGCCCTCTGCCCCTGAGTTCCAGGTCTGTGACTGGTTTTCTGCGTCCCTAGGAGACAGGTGAGCCAGAGCTCCTGAGGCCTCCAGGAGGGGCGGGACGCAGGCCGCCGGAGTCGGGCTGGTGTGGGTGGGGAGGGTCTTGGAGTTCTTGCAACCGGAAACTGACAGGGAGTTTGCCTGGTGGGGGCTGTCTTGAGAGTGAAGGTTGCTGTTTTTCTCGGAGAAAAGGTGTCCCCTTCCCACGCACCTCCCAGCCTCTGTGCTGACAGGAAACTTGAAATCAGAGCTTAATGACTTGGGGGGGGGCTTGGGTCTGGACTGAGTGGGGTTTAGAAAGCATTAGGACTTTCTAAAGATTCCTTCGCACTTAGTTGGTGTCCCTGCGGCCTTGGGTCTCGGGTTCACATTCTCCTCCATCCAGAGCATGGGTTGACTCAGCTGTGGCAGACAGCAGAAGTCGGGCTGACAGGTAAGCGATGAGCCCTCCTCCCTCCTTCCAGAAGGGTCATCCTGGGGGAGGGGGCCTCTGGCTGGGAGGAGAAGGATGGTGGTCTGATCAGAACGGAAGAAGGGAAAAGGCTGACCTGTCACCTGGATTCCAGAGATGCCTGTGTGCACTGAGGCCAAGGGCAGTGGATCCTGCGTGGCGCACTTGGGAGCTGGAAGGGGACCGCAGGGGAGGGAGAAAGAAAGGCAGTGAGTGGGCGCCCTGGCATAGTAAGCTCACAGGAGGCTGAGAGTCCCGACCGGGCTGGGTTCCCCGCTTTCCACACCAATAGCCTAGAGAGAACGATGCAGCCCCAGAGGCCCTGAGGATGGTTTGTTTCAGACTGAGAACCGGGAACCAAGCAGAGGAGCATAATGTTTTTACTCTGGGTTCTTGCCCGTCTGTGGTGCCAATGGCTAGCTAACACGCAAAACAAAACAAACAAAAAACCCGACGCGTATTTCTGCAGGTGCCCCGAGAGGGACCATGGTGCCAAGGCGATTGTGGGGGAAACTGAAGCAGCCGTTTCTCTTCCTGAGCAGCGCCTCGCTTCTCCTGGGGCTGGCTTTACTGGTTATACAACCTGATGTTGCCCCTGTGGCTTATTTTTTCCTCTGCTTGGCTGCCTTCTGCTTTTTTGCCTGCCTCCTGTCCTGTGTTGTGGACCGGGGCCTTCAATCAAGACAGAGGTCAAGGCAGACCGAGACTCCAGAGGCCTCGGGCAACGCAAGGTGAGTTAATGGGGAAAGAGCAGGATGGCACGAATGTGCCCTTAGGCCAGTGGTTCTCAGCCTTCTTAATGCGGTGGGTGACCTTTAATACAGTGTCCCTTTAATACAGTGTCCCTTTAATACAGTGACCCTTTAATACAGCGTCTCACGATGCGTGACCCCCCACCACACAATTATTCATTGCTACTTTGTAATCTTGCTACTGTTATGAATAATAATGTATATATCCAGTCTCCAGGATCATCTGATGAGATCCCCTCCCCCCAAAAAAGGGGTCGTGGCCCACATATTGAAAACCACTGCCATAGGCCCTTATTCCCTCCGTGCCTTTAGTTTCTGAAGCCTGGATTCTGCTTTCCTCAGTCACTGGTGTCGTTAAAAGCGAAAGCCAGCTGGCAACAGAGGGGTCTTTTGCAAGAGCAGAACAGGAAAAAAAAGGACTCCTTTCAGGCAGCCACTGAGGACCGTATTTCTTCCCCCGCAGGGACAATGCAGCTTTTGAGGTGCCCACCTATGAACAGGCCGTGGTGGCGATGGACGCACCGTCACAGCACCGCGTCCAAGAGCTGGAGCAACCACCCCCTTACAGCAGCGTGGTAGCAGCCCCAGGCGCCGTCGAGGGGCCGCAGCCCAGCCAGCTAGACAGGCCCAGCCCGGGAAGCCCGAAACGGCAGAGGCGAGTAGGCTCAGAGGGGACAATGACTCGCCGAGGAAACCCCGGGCGAGCTCTTCGACTCAGGGGTCCGCGAGTTGTGTCCACCGCTCCTGACCTGCAAAGTTTGAGGGTGGCCCCCAAGTCGGAGCCCACGACCCCACCCCCTGCCTACGAAATCTCGTTCGCGTACCCTGAGGATGACAACGTTTTCTACGAAGATAAATGGATACTCCCCTAAGCGGTGCTCTCAGAACCTGTCACGTCCGCAGTCGCTGGCTGAGCGTTTCCTGGTGTCTGCTTAATCGGAGACTGGCTTTGCCCAGGACATCACACTTGGGGTCTTCAAGCCAGCGTGGCGTCGAGTCGGGCTACGGCGAGTGCTTCCCACTTGAGATACAGGTGGCACAGCTGGATTCTTCTGCAGGAACTCTTGGAGCCCTGCGTGGATAACCAGCGTCTGCTAGAGTAAGGTGGACAACGACAAGAGAGGAACCGGAGCAGTAACCTCGGAGTGGCGGCTGTGTTTCGTCGAGCCTGGCTTGAGGTCCCTGGTAGGGTATTGCTACCTACCAGGGTAAGGAGAGACTGACTCTAAGGGTGAGGGGGAGTAGTTTGCACGTCAACGGGGATGCCGGTAAAAACATAAAGATAGCTCGAGTCAAACCCCACTCTCCAGTGCCTACTGTTTTCAATGCGAACCGGGCGATGCACACGACTTTGTTTAACCCTGTCTCGGGACAGCTGGTAGGTAAGAGAGAGAAATCTGAATGCAGACGACTTTGTTTAACCCTGTCTCGGGACAGCAGGTAGGTAAGAGAGAAATCTGAATGCAGACGACTTTGTATAACCCTGTCTCGGGACAGCTGGTAGGTAAGAGAGAAATCTGAATGCAGACGACTTTGTATAACCCTGTCTCGGGACAGCTGGTAGGTAAGAGAGAAATCTGAATGCAGACGACTTTGTATAACCCATCTCGGGACAGCTGGTAGGTAAGAGAGAGAAATCTGAATGCAGACGACTTTGTATAACCCATCTCGGGACAGCTGGTAGGTAAGAAAGAGAAATCTGAATGCAGACAGAACGGGGAGGTCACAAGCGCGACCCAGGGCGGCCCCAGCCTCGGAGAAGAGCGCCTTCTAGAGTTTTCCATCCCCTATGCACCCTGGCCTTGGAAGATCAAGGCGGGACAACGACAAGCCCGGGCCCCCTCCGGTCTCCTTTCTGGTAGTTATTGCAGAAGGGGCGGGGAGGTACCAAGGGGAGGGGGCTGCGGTTTCCGCGGGAATCGACAGCCAATCAGATCCCTAGGTGGGAGAAGCCCCGCTCTTTTCCCCGCCCCTTCCCGTTTCCCCCGAGCCTTCTCTCTCACTAGCTCTCTGCCCATTGGGTTGTCCCTCCCTCCGGCAAGCAGTGTGCGCTTGCGCGTGGTGAGGCCCGCCTGCGGGCGGCGGGGCGGGGCCGTGCGCAGGCGCGGCGAGGGGTTGGGGGCGGCTCTGGGGGGTGGGGTGGGGAGGGATGCGGGAGCTGGCGCGGCCCGGCGTGCGCGCTCGCTCCCGCGCGCGCGTGTGTGTGTTGTGGGCGGTGCGCGTGTGCATCCCGGGAAGAGCTGGCAATGGCGGCGCGGGGCGGGAGGCCGCAGCCCACTCTGCACAGGAAGGGGCTGATGGCGGCCGACAGGAGGAGCAGGTGAGGAGGGCTGGGCCCGGGGGAGGCGGCCGGGCGAGCATCGCGCGCCCGCTGGGCCTGGGCCTCTCCCCACCACCACCACCACCGCGCGCGGGCAGAGGCTGCGGCCGCCTCCCTTTGTGCAGTGCAGGGCGAGCCTGCACGAGACGTGGGCCTGGCGGGTCCCTCCGGGTGGCGCCTGCGGCGTCTCTGCAAAAGGTGCTCCGTCCCTTTCCCCGCTCCGGTTCTCGCCCGAGGGTTTGGACTCGAGTCTTAACCCCACCCCCAGAAGCCAGGGAGACCTCCTGCAGACGGCGGCCTGGGCCGCTTTTGATGTGGGTTTGACCGAAACGTCACCCGCACTGCTTTCCCTGCAGAGCAGATGCTTTCGGCGGGTGTCAGGGGTCTGAATCCTTTGAGAGGACGACTAGAGGTGGCTCTGAGTGTCTTCGCCATCCTCTCCCCCCCCCCCGAGGGGCACTTTGGATGCAGACGGGGCCCAGGAGGATGTGGTGTCTTGTTTCCCTGTCCAGATCTGCAGCGTTAACTTAGAAACCTTCCGAGGACACGGAATCGAGACGTTAGAACCCCCTTACCCCCTCATCCTCCTTTCCACAGCTTTTTTAAAACTCCAGGTGATTGGAAACTCTTGGAAGGAGTTCATATTTCAGCCTCTTCTCGTAGTTTTAAGAGGAAGGAAGTAGCAGCAGGTGTGCCGAGTGGGGTGGTGCTTCGGGTAAAAACGGTGTGTGTGTGTGTGGCAGCCCGCTGCATAAAAGGGTGACAGTCTGGGACCCAGACCTGGAGTCAGTAAGTGGTGCCTGTGGATGGAATTTCCTAGGGAAGAGGCTTCACCCCTCCCTACCCCACCCCCAGGGTCGCTCTAGTGCAGTGTCAGCATTTAAAGGCTGCCAGGCTGTTGCGCCCGGCACCCCCGGAGGGGGGGGGATGCAGGAAGAGGGTCAGGACTTGTCTGGCTTACACACATCTCCAGGCCTACTTAACTCCTGTCAAAGGGGAGGAACAGGTGCTGGGGAACAGGTCAAATGGCCTCTTTAAAAGGAAACAAACCGGCGTGTGTTGAGCTGTGTGGACCTGGAGCAGTGTGGAAGACAAGCTTTTTAAGAAGCTGAGTGTCCCCCGTGAGCAGAGCACTCACTGATTATGTACCTGAGGACAGCAGCTGCGACACTGATTTTTGTTCTCACCAGACTTTGTTTATAGCCCTGGCACCGTGTTGTGGTCTTGTAAGGTGGCTCTCAGATGAAGGTTTAGATTCATGGAGATGGTGCTGTGGCAGGTTCTAGTGGATTTTGAGGAAGCAGAGGCTTTTTAAATACGTGATCTGCCTCTATACCTCTCGGGAGCCCAATTTCCCAGGACCCTGTTTTTCCATCTAACTATGGGCCCTTTGAGCTAGGGACGTTTGGCCAGTGCTGGTATTTCACTGACTGAAGATGCTTATTTGTTCCCCTGTATTTTTGCTCTCTTTAAAATCACAGTGCATCTAAAAAAAAAAACCTGTTTTGTTGTATAAAGTGAACCTGTTGCAATATCTCCTCCTCCTGCCTTCAGACCCTAAGCATTGTCTCATAGTAAACAAACTGAAGGTCTGGGCTTACATACATTGGGCACATAGAGGACACACATTGGAAATGGTGTTTTTCTATTTGTGAACAAGCTTGACAGCAAAACTAGGGACTCAAATACAGCTGCTGCTGGTGGATTAAATCACCAAATAATTTAACCATTGCTCGCCCTGTCCTTGTGACTACAGGTTATATTGTGTTCAGCATTGGTGTCTCTCCACTGTGGGCTTTGTCAATTTCCACTCACCCATACTTTGTACGATTTCTTTAGTATTAGTCTATCTTGGAATTGTAAAATATTTTTTGATATAACTTAATGTGAGTGGTCTAGAGAAAGTGTGTGTGTGTGTGTGTGTGTGTGTGTTAAAAACATGCCTGTTGACTTTACATTTTACACTTGAAAGTTCCTGTCCTAAGATCATTTTTTTTTTGTCTTAGGTTAGTTTCCTAAAGAAAAAGCCGTGTCATGTTGTCTATCAGGGGAGTGTTTCTTGGATACATTTGTGCTTCTTTATATTAACTTGACCAAGATTTCCTCTCCTAGCCAGATCATTATTTCAGATAGCCTGATGGAAACTTTCTCTGGAGGATTACACCTTACTTGCTTAGGGTCAGCGTGTTACTCTTAGTACGACTGGTTTGGAGAGACTTGATAGACTGTGCCTCATCTTGCTCCTAAGTCCGCTCTGATCTGCTTAACCGCTGCTCTTCCCCTCTTCCGCATCCGGGCTTACGCCTAACGATCCGTCCGTCCGTCTGCCTTTCTGCAGGGTACTGGCGGTGTGTGGCATGCACCCTGACCATCAGGAAACCCTGAAGAAGAACAGGGTGGTGCTGGCCAAGCAGCTGCTGCTGAGTGAGCTGCTGGAGCATCTCCTAGAAAAGGACATCATCACTTTGGAGATGAGGGAGCTCATCCAGGTATCGAGGTGAAACAGAGGCGCCAAGGAGACAAACCGGGGTGGGACAGAGGGAACCTCTGGAGAGGGTTGTGTGTGCTCCCTGGCTGAGGAGGAAGCGGAATGCCGTGCCCCTCTCATCCTTTGAGAGCTTCACGGGAAGCCACGCCTGAGAGTGCCCCGAGATGGATGAGAACCGCCACTTAGAAAGCACATGTGGGAAAGTGGTATTTATAACTAGATGAGTAAATGTAACTTAACGTTACATTTTTGTGTGTGTGTGTGCCTTAGGCCAAAGGGGGCAGTTTCAGCCAGAACGTGGAACTCCTCAACCTGCTGCCCAAGAGGGGACCCCAGGCTTTTGATGCCTTTTGTGAAGCCCTGCGAGAGACCAGACAAAGTCACTTGGAAGACTTACTGCTCACAACACTCTCTGATATTCAGCATGTACTCCCACCGGTATGAAGACCTAGAAATATATCCTGGGGTGGGTTTGGCCAGAAAGGGTATGGAGCAGGGGGCACAGAGAGATAGAAGCTTGATTTTGTTTGATTTGGACAGAACCGTGTCTCTGAGGTCTTTGATGGTGAGTCTTCATTTCTTACAGTTGAGCTGTGACTATGACACAAGTCTCCCTTTCTCGGTGTGTGAGACCTGCCCCCCTCACAAGCAGCTCCGCCTGTCCACAGGTAAGAATGAATGGGACAAAAGACCCCCCCCCCCCCACACACACACACTGGCTTACCTGCTTTCTGAGTGGTGTCTGGCTTTCCCCTAAAGGTGAGGTATATTTCATGATAGGGACAGTTCTTTATGAACTTTTGACAGGCTACAGGGCAGGTTAGAAGGAATATAAGTTGTACCCATTTCCCTCCATCACAGGTAGTCTTCTTCAGAATAATTGGCTTTTTGTGCAGCTTATTCAGGTGGGAGCTGTGCTTTCTTGTGTATGATTTGAATTGTCTTCTCTTTAAAGCCAAACAAGAAACAGCTACTTCACGCAGTGCTCCCTGTCTGTATTGGGGTGGTCCTAAAAGCCTTTTCCATCATTCATCGAGTTGAGTATCTACTGTATGAAGCCCGTATGTGGGGGCCCAGTGAAGAGCAGAAGCCAGCAGGGTCTGTGGCAGCATGGGGCTTAGTGGTGGAGGACTAAGAACAGTGTTCCTTGAAACCTCAGTCTGAAGGACTGGCCCCAACTAAAACGATTAATTATTGGAGTTACAACGAGCAGTGTTGAGATGTATGCTAACTTTTGGCGTTTTCCCTGCCACAGGTACTATGGAACACTCCTTAGATAATGGCGATGGTCCTCCCTGCCTTCAGGTGAAGTCTTGCACTCCAGAGTTTTATCAGGCACACTACCAGCTGGTGAGTTTGCATTACGTGTCCTGTTCTTCTGAACCTGGCTTGCGTGCTTTCTTGCGGCTCTGTCAGACAGCCACTGCTGATTGGTGCCTCCTGTGGCGTTTCCTTTTTACCTGGTATGGTGAAAACCGGCAGAGGTTAGATTTGGGGAGGTGTCTGTTGGGAGGAGGGTTGTTTGGGATTTGTTTTGAAACGCTCGATCTCATAGGGTAACCACATTGCCTGTCATCAAGAGGCTCGTGTCTAATTGGTCTCCTCCTCCTAGGCCTATAAGTTGCAGTCTCAGCCTCGCGGCCTGGCACTGGTGCTGAGCAATGTGCACTTCACTGGAGAGAAAGACCTGGAGTTTCGCTCTGGAGGGGACGTGGACCACAATACTCTAGTCGCCCTCTTCAAGCTTTTGGGCTATAACGTCCACGTTCTACGGGACCAGACTGCACAGGTACCTGCGCGCTGGAAAGGCTGACGTGGAAGTTGGGTGGGCTGCACTTTGCGGCTGGGTGCTTCTGTCCCTCCTGTGCCTGCTGGGTGTTTCCCACTCACTCCGTTGAGCTGAGGCCTAGTAAAAAGAGGCAGGGCAAGCCAGTCGTCTGATCATTGCTGTCTGGGGGTAGCTGTGCTTTCATGGCGTTCCTTGGCTGAGGGCTGGCTTCCCACATTTATGTGTTCAGAAACTTGACTCCCAGTCACTCAGGAAGTGATGAGACACTGAGATCCTTCCAAACAAACTCTGAAAGGATATTTATAAATCAGGCTACACAGGCGTTTGCTTCACAGTCGATACCATTACTTGAGATCCCAGTTATTGTTTAAGTCATCACTTTTGGCATATTCGGTTCTAAAAGTAGGAGAATATATGCGAATGCTATTTAGTGATAGTCTGATTGAGTCGGTGTTGGGATGCTTTAGGGTAGGCTGCTCCCGAACGTTCTCCCACATCATAAGCATTCGTTGTGGGTCGCCCCTCACTGACTTGCTACTTTCGGAATTTCTATTTTGAAGTTGATAATAACTCCTCATTTGTATATTATTCTAAACTGTTTTTGTTCTGTAGACTTGGTCTTTGGTCTTATCAGAGGTATAATTTAAAATTCTAAGCCATGGTGAGACGGGAGAATCAGGAGTTAAAGTTTTAAGACCAACCTTTACCTAGAAAGTTGAAGGGTAGCCTGTGAGACCCTGTCTTTAAAAAAAAAATTCCTTTTGGGCTCTTGAGGTGGAGGATCCTGGTTTTGTTTTGGAAGTTAGTTGTGGTCCTCTTGGCTGTCCCATTTCTGTGAGAGGAGCTGAGTGTTTGCTGTGCCTTGGGCGTGGCCAGTCTCGTTGGTAGGTGCCTCGGTGTCCCTCCTGACATGGTGCTCTGGACAGCTTGCCCAGAATTGCCCATAATTACGGTCCATTCTTGGTTCACAGCCATGGCTGGGAGTTGAGTTTGTGGCTTAGTGGTCAGAGGGATTACCTAGCATATGCAAAGCCCTGAATTTAATCCCCTGCACCAGGAAAAAACAAAAGCCCCAGCTGGGACAACGTTTTCCACCATGGAGGGCACTGGAGTAGGTAGCTTGTCCACCTCAGTCACTTTTGGAAGGTCACCTAGCCAGACTTATGCTGTGTTTGTTTTCTAAGGGTATGGTCTGTCCGTTCCTTATAGTTTTCTAGGAAACTGTTTTGTAACGGTTTTCTAAATAATATGTTTGATAATGGATTTTAGATACCTGATAAAGGATTCAATACTGTGTCACTAATACAGTTGAATGCTGCTGGGGTTTTTTTTGAGACATCAGGAGACTTTATGAGTCCGTGAACTATACTTTTTGTGAGCCGTTTCCATGTAGAGTGTATCTAAGGCAGATTCAGAGGCTTCTGGATTTTCGTTACCAAGTTTTTCTGTCACTTGAGTCTCAGTGAAGCTAAGTTTTGAGCACTTTGTGCTTTGAGGGCTGTTAGCAGGCGCACACACGTTGAATGTGGTTCTGAATTCAAGGGTGGATGTGGAGGGCGCTCTCAGAGTCAGTTTGTTCCCCTGCATCACTAATAGAGCTGGGGCTTCTACTCTTACTGGAGGTGAAAGTTAAACCACCTGAGGAGATGAGGGGAAGGGTAGACAGAGCAGGAGGAGCTCCTAAGGGAGACAGCCTGGGCAGGGAGAGCCGTGTGCAGATGATAGAGGCTGTCACAAGCCACGTGGCCGCTGTGAATAGCCTGCTTTGCTGCGTTGGAAATGTGCAGAAGGCCCTCTTCCTATAGGGCCTCCCTAAAGATGCCTTTTTATCATACGATTATGTGGCAAGCAGAGAAACAGAACCAAGCAATCTAAGATCCTCTTTTACCACCATCAATCCTCTTTGACTAGTGTTGATTCCCTTCAAATATAAGAGTATAGCTAATGGCGGAGAATCTTTTCCTGCTGTTGGTGCTGGAGAGCACACTAACCAGTGCTTTTACCACTTAGTTCCGTATGCGTTGTGTCTACCTCGGGAGGTAACTTGACTCTTGAAAATAGTTTAGCACATTAGTAAGTGGAGGTGTGTTCTGAAGTGGTAACTTTTACTCTCACCGTATGCTATTGCTTTTTAATTTGCATTTGGGCTACAGATGGCTGGGAGAATGTAAGGATGTTGTGAAAATGGCAGCTATCTCTATAGCTTTGCATTTACTTATAGATGGTACATTCCTCAAGTGGCCTCCAGCCCCCAGCCAAAACATACCCAAGAGCTACAAGCCGTACTATTTATAGAAGTACTGTACTTTTATAAAAAAATAAGTCTACAGATCGTATTAAAGGTATGTCACTTGTAGAAAAATCCACCCAAATAACTAATCTACATTTGTTGAATGATTTATTTTATGTTCAGTTACAAAGTATGTATGTTCTTAGCTTTCTTGTACTCCTCTTTACTGATATAATCAACAAGTTTAAAATGGCCATGTGTATGTATAAGATATATACTATATACGGCATTTTTATTGCATTCTTCAAGCAAAATTAACTTTATAACCAGACTCTGTAGAACACTTGCAGTTAACTCATTTTTGTGAAAGTATATATCTTATAAACAAATGCTATGTTATGGCTTGCTTCTGCTTACTCAGAAAAATCTCTGTTTTCTCACCAAAACTATTTTCGCCATCTCTAGTTATATTACAGTGTACTTAATCAGAAGTATACATATAGGCCAGGTATGATAACGAGTATTTGTGGTCCCTGCAATAGCTTAGGAGACTGAGTCAGGAAGACTTGAGAGTTCAAAGCCAGAAGGAGCTGAATAATAGCCTGCGCTACATAATAAGGCCCTGTCTTTAAAAACAAAACAAACCAAAAACCCCAAGTATTTCCAAGCAGAAGGTTAGCAACTCTTCTGGGTTTTTTGTTTTGTTTTGTTTTGTTTTTGGAGATGGTGTTTATGTGTTAACAGCCCTGACTGTCCTAGAACTCACTCTATAAGTCAGACTGGCACAGAGATCCGTCTGCCTCTTCCTCAGGAGAGCTGGCCAGATTAAAGGCTTGTACCGCCATGCTTGGCTTTGATTAGCAGCTCTTAAACTTTGAAATACCAGAATTAGTGGGAGGGTTTATGAAAATGATTTGCTGAACACAGCCTTTCTTCCACGTTTTGCACAAGTTCTGAGTGCTGCTGCAGTAACTGCTTTGGGAAACCTCCTTTAGAAACTCCAAAACATGAACGAGTGAGCTGCTTACTGAGAGTGGAGGAGTCAGAAGTGTGAGGCTGTGTGCTGTGACTGCTCTGCCTAGGAGCAGAGTCATCTTTGTAGTGTTCCTTCATGTCGCAATAAGATGAACACACTTTTTTTTAATGTATGTATTTGTGTTCACATATGTTTAGGCGTGTGTGTGTCCATGGGTTGTCCTAGGGTTGATGTCAGGAGTCTTTTATCACTTTCTACTTTGTTGAAGCAGGGTTTCTCAGTTGAACACAGCGCGACCAATAACTAGCCAGCTTCCTCCAGGAATTCTCCATGTCTTCCTTCGAGGTGTTAGAATTACACAGAAGCCCAATGACGACCCTGTACTACTAATGTTCTGGGATACAAGCTCTAAACCTCAGACTTTCATGGCAAGCACCCCACCTACTGAGCTATCCCCACACACACCATGTAGCTTCTTTAGAAATTCACTTTAAAGCAGGAGTTCTTATCAATTTCAGTGAACCTGTGACTCCATATTCAGAGTTTGATGTCTGAAGTCGTGTGCATTTTTCGTTTTCAGAGAGTTTGTGTGTCTTATCAGTGATCGCAGGAATAGACAGGAAAGCACTTTTATCTTCAGTAGGTAGGGTTTCTTTCAGACAAGCCAGAGGTTACTGTCTATGTTGATGCTGACTGCAGTGAACAACACTAGCAGGTGTCTCTGTCTTCTAGCAAATGCAAGAGAAACTTGAGAATTTCGCACAGTTGCCTGCGCACCGGGTCACAGACTCCTGCGTAGTGGCGCTCCTCTCACATGGTGTGGAAGGCGGCATCTACGGTGTGGATGGCAAACTGCTTCAGGTGGGTCTAATTTTGTGGAAGCTGAGCGTTGAAAATAGGCCACTCTGCCTCCTGCCTGTCCATCTATTTTAGCTACCGCGCCCTTGCTGTGACCAAACACCTGAAGAAGCTTCTTAAGGGGAAGATCTATTCTGGCTTATGGTTTGAAGGGATTCAGTCCATCTTGGCAGTGAGAGCATAAGGCACTTTGTTAAACTACATCAGCTAAATATTTATTACTGCCAGACAGAACATCTTTAGTGTTTTTCAGAGTTGGTTAATTTTTTATTTTATAATCTTCAGTGCTAAGAAAACCATCTCACATGAATATATGGCATAAAATGACAGATGTATGTTTGGTGCTGTTCCAGAAGTTCTTGAAAAAGCTGTCCCAATCCAAAATTCATGAAACTCAGTCCATCAATTCAAACAACATTTTTGTTTTGTTTTTTGTTTGTTTTTCGAGACAGAGTTTCTTATATTGCTTTGGAGCCTGTCCTGGAGATCACTCTGTAAACCAGGCTGGCTTTGAACTCACAGAGATCTGTCTGCCTCTGCCTCCCGAGTCCTGGGATTAAAGGCATGTGCCACCAACGCCCAGCTTCAAACAGCAATTTTTATTAAAGATTTGTTTATTTATTATGTATACAGTGTTCTGTCCGCATGTCAGAAGAGGGCACCAGATCTCATTACAGATGGTTGTGAGCCACCATGTGGTTGCTGGGAATTGAACTCAGGACCTCTGAAAGAGTAGCCTAGTGCACTGAACCTCTGAGCCATCTCTCCAGTCCCTCAAACAGCAATTTATTTATTTATTTATTTATTTATTTATTTATTTATTTATTTATTTATTTATTTATTGGTTTTTTCGAGACAGGGTTTCTCTGTGGCTTTGGAGGCTGTCCTGGAACTCACTTTGTAGACCAGGCTGGCCTCGAACTCACAGAGATCCGCCTGCCTCTGCCTCCCGAGTGCTGGAATTAAAGGCGTGCGCCACCAACGCCCGGCTCAAACAGCAATTTTTAAAATCAAACATTCTAACAGTTTAGTCCAAAGATGACCAGTCTTATATGTCTGTGCTGAAGAGTGCTAGTAGAAAAATATTAAAAGTCCGTTTTCTATAATTAGACCATTACGCTTCTCTAAAGAGAAAACTTTGTATGTCCAGAAAAGACGCTGCAGGGATCTAAGCAGGTGTTTGAGGCAGCTTTGCTGGCACACGCAGGGTGAAGTGCCTGTGTTACGTGTGACAGCCGAGGCTGAAATGACATCACATACTAGAACACCAATAAGCACTAACAGAAACACCTCGGATTCATTAAGCATTTGATTTTGAATGAATTGTTGGCCATGCAGAAACTTGGTGATAAACCTTTCGACAGCCCCACATTTAGACCTCATATGAAGTTGTGACCTATGGTTTAAGCAACTGGATTCTAGGGGCTAGAGGGATAGCTCGGCAGTCAGGAGTACTTAACTGCTGTTTTCAAGGACTCCGGTCCCATTCCCAGTACCCGCATCGGGCCGTTCAACAGCCTGTCATTCCAGTTCCAGAATATCCAGGACCCTCTGTCATTCCAGTTCCAGAATATCCAGTACCCTCTGTCATTCCAGTTCCAGAATATCCAGGACCCTCTGTCATTCCAGTTCCAGCATATCCAGGACCCTCTGTCATTCCAGTTCCAGAATATCCAGGACCCTCTGTCATTCCAGTTCCAGGATATCCAGGACCCTCTGTCATTCCAGTTCCAGAATATCCAGGACCCTCTGTCATTCCAGTTCCAGGATATCCAGGACCCTCTGTCATTCCAGTTCCAGAATATCCAGGACCCTCTGTCATTCCAGTTCCAGAATATCCAGGACCCTCTGTCATTCCAGTTCCAGAATATCCAGTACCCTCTGCCTTCTGTGGAAATCTGCAAGCACACATTGCATATAAACTGGTGTAGGCATATCTTCAGGAATCTCCTGAGACTTAACTACTTCAGTACTGTTCAACAGGATAAGCTTCAAGTATTGTGGGTCTGAGGGTACAATTACAAACAAACAATTATACTCAATATACAATGGCAAAGTAACCATTTTTGTTCAAAAAAGAAAAGGAATGGGATCATAATAAGGAAAGTGGATGAAAACAAGACTGAACACCCTCCCCTCCCGCCCCACCCCTGAGTGAATACCCAGTCCCGAAGCTCCGTGGTCAGCATCCGGGCTTCCAGCTAATGTAACAGATAAACTTGCGCTTCCAGCTCTGGTGTATGGCTTACATGGGCTCTGTGAGGTCTGCTTCACTTGTCCAACAGCTTTCCTTAGCAAAAGTTACGTGTTTCTGGTTTCCCTCCTACCTGGGGTCTCCATGTACAGCTTAGACTTCCCCTTGGTCCCCATCTGCTAGGAGCTCCATACAGGTGCCCAGTCCTGCTAGGCTACACTGCCCGGCCGCGGTGGCTCCTCTGGTGCCTCCGTGTAAGGTCTGTGATTCTAGCTCACCCTGCTGCCAGCTTGAGGTGTAGCCTGGCCCTCATGAACCACAGCTACCTCAGCCTCTGCTGTTTTAGCTGAACCTTGGAAGAAACTATCCTGGGTAGCCTTTATCCAGAGGATACACCTAAGGATTCTTTTTTCAGGTATTCTCCGTTGTGAGAATTTGTGCCCTCCACCTTGGTTGGGATTTTTTTCCCCAAGGCACCTTTGCTACTCTCCAATACAGATTTCGCTTTAATGGCTCTAATAAAACTCTCTCCCACGGTGTCTACCGAGTTCTGTCATCCTTGAAGACCTTTGACACTGGGAGTCTGGGGTGTTCTGGTTAAAAAATAAAGAACCCCCACGCTACCCGGAACTTTAAGTAAACTCCAGAGCCTTTCTTCATAAAGCTGTTTTTATGTCTTTATGTTGGACACGTCACAGACTATAAATGTGGTAAATTTAGTGAGCATTGGCCATGGTACACAGCTTGAATGCTGTGCTAAAATATGCTTTGCTAGACGAATTTGTCCATTATTTTACATTCAAGCTCAAGTTTTCAGGGTATGGACAGACTGCGTCCGTATTCCTCACCAGAACACAACACAAGCTGAGTTCTTACTCCAGTCCTTCCTTGTTTCGTTTTGATCTCTTGAGCCTAGCCTGTGTTTGGGTTTCTCCTGGCACTTTGGTCTCTTGAATTCCCACTAAAACGGCCCATGAAACCCTGCTTCTTCCTTTCTAGGGTTTTCTTTGAGGCTGTAGCTTCAGACTCCTTCACGTCCCTCCAACAGACTAGCTCTACAGACCTGTGGACCATGTGGGAAGGGTTATTACTCTTATTGACCCCGGTCTCTGGCATCAGTTTCCACCGTTAGTTACTAAATACTTAGGAAACAACTTAGGGGAGAAATAGTTTGTTTTGGCTCCCTGTTTAAGTGGAAACCCACCGTGGCAAGGAAGCCAGCTCTCCTCTGGAGACGAGCACAAGGCTCTGTATGTACTTAGGTTTGAGCAGATTGTGCAGCTCAGGAGAAGAAATGCTGGCATGTCTGGCTTTGTTTGCCCCGTAGCGTTCTTTCAGCCTGGGCTCCCTGCCTTTCCTCTGCAGTTAATTCTTTCTGGAAATTCAGTGCCCTGGTAGGAACACTACACATGTCCCCTAAGGGATGATAAATCCAGTCACGTTGACAAGATCAGCCGTCCGTCACCCCGCCTTTCAGATGGCGGCTGCATCTGTGTGTGTTGGTCTTGGAGAGGTCACACAGCTACCTAACTTCCCTTCTCCCTCACTTGTCTCTGGTAGCTCCAGGAGGTTTTTCGACTTTTTGACAATGCTAACTGTCCGAGTCTGCAGAACAAGCCGAAAATGTTCTTCATCCAAGCGTGCCGTGGAGGTGAGTGCCCTGGCGAACCAGCGTCTGGGTGGCGGCTCCTGGGCGGCCCCCACCAGCTCTCACTTTCCTGTTTGCTCCTCTCAGGTGCTATTGGACCCCTTGGGCACCTCCTTCTGTTCACTGCTGCCACCGCCTCTCTTGCTCTGTAAGTGTCCCAATGCATGGGGTGTGCTCGGACTGGGGCAGCCCGTGGCTCTCGGTCTTACCAGCTCTGTGCACCTCCCGTCCTCAGGGATCGCTTGCCGGTGTCTGCCCTTTCTCCTAAGAACCGGACTCTTCTCTGCTTACTAACTGCCAGTTAAGGGTGTCTGCTTGTCTCCTCCAGATCTTCCTCTCTTACCCCGTTTCCGTTTTCTGTCTGTGCCGTCCTCACGCTCCCACACCCTTGCCTCCCTTCTCGACCATTCTTGGAGCATGCAGGAGAAGAGGACAGAGCCCGTGTCTGCCTCGGACTCTCCTGAGCTGCTTCTGTCCTCCTTTCTCTCGCATGCCGTCTCTTGTACATCCTTTAAGAGCCAGGCCTGTGTAACAAGGCTCAGAAGACACACACGCCTCCTTCTCATCCAGAGGAGAGCAGTAGTAATCAAGAGTCTTAAGTCTGGAATCAGATTGTGATTCTGCTGCGTAATAACTGTGTGAAGTTAGAGACGCTATCTCACCTCCCTCCCTAAGCTGCGGACAGTTGTTATACAAAATTCCTTTAAGCCGTGGTGATGGTTAGTGAACTTGCACCTAAGTGCTTACTTGGCTTGTACCTGGTTCCTGGCAAATCTGGAGAGAAAGCCTGCTGTGGCCATTACAACGTGGTCAGCATCCTCAAATGCCTTACATTTGGGTTAAAGTTCACAGTATCCAAACATGCTTTCCCTTTGTGTCACCAGAGAGTATATTTTAAGGTCCTGCAGTGTGACTAAGGCTGTAAAGCAGAAGAAAATATCTAAGCATGTTTAAGTAGTACACGGATTACTCAGGGAACTAAAGCAAGTGTACGTAAAGCAGCTTGAGGCTGGTACTCGTGCAAGGGGGAAATTTGTGCAGTAGCAGAGTGCACACACACACATCGTTTTATCTGAGGTTTGTTAGAAGAGATATTCATGGATAGAAAAAGGCTCAATTTGGACTGCAGATACTTGCTCTTACCCCCGTGTGGAGAGAGTCTTTCAGAGAAAGAGACGGTGCAGCATGGCAAGCCTGAGATTATAAGACCCACCCTAGTTTCTATGGTATGCCACCATGCTCCCCATTGTGTGACATGCCCACAGTGCTCAGATATCAGAAGCTCGGCGTCTCTGTAAGCAATGTCGTGAGCCGTGGCTGATCACAGGCTGTTGCTCTAAGCTAATTGCAAACCTTTAGTCGTAGCTGAGGTTTTGAGCTTCAACAGATAATGCTTTGGAGAGTTTACGTAGGAAATGGTACGGTGTGTTTTCCCAGGAAAGTTACAATGGCTGGGAAGTGCACCAAGAAAAGAGCACGTAAACGCTAGCGTTTTTTCATTCATCGATGTTTTCACAGGGCCAGAGCACTGCTTTACACACAGCAGCACTTAAAAGGCATGAAATTTAGGTGGAATTTATGTCTGAAAATTGTAATGATATAGGAATCAATTGTGAAGAAAAGATGATAATGTTTATTGAGTAATAGCCCTGAAGACAAGCTCCCCATCCCTTAAAGGACATGCTTAGCCTGGCCTAGATTGCTTAAGAGGCAGAACAACAAAATAAAACATTAGTGGTCGTTTTCTTCCCACCTCAGAATTATATGTAGTGCTAGGACTGGATGAAGAAATTGCTTTTTTTTTCTTTCTGGAGTAATTTGAATCTTTGTTGTGCCTGTCCAGTCCATATCTAAAATCTAGTCCATAAAGTGTGACCCAAAGCTGATGCTTCTTTGAAAATATGAACTTTGCCAATTTCTCATAATACAGAGATTGAATCTCAGACTAGAGGACGGGCTTGATAAGAGCATGGTTTCTGGTTTGACTCTGTTTTTAACTCAGTGTGTCCTCCATAGACTTTAGATCTTAGTAGAAAACAGTGCATAGTGCTTAATTCCGGAAAAAAAAAAAAAAAGAAACAGTGAGCTTTCACCAAACGTTCTTTGAGCATTGGTTTGTTCTTCTCTTTAGAATCTTGGGTCTTGAGGCTCACGCAGGAAGTCCTGTGAGAGGGTGCACTCTTAGGTGATGACCCGTGTACCCTCACTCTCCTTCTGCAGCCATGATGCCTGCCTAACCCTAAAGTAAACAGCGAGTGTTACTATTTGATGATCTTGTTGGAGAAAATATTTAGTATTTCTCTGATTTTAAGTTTGTCCTCTTTTGAACTTCTCTAAGTCTTGGCTGCCTACTATAATTTGTCTTACAAACTTAATAAACAAGTAGGAGAAAAGTTTTAGAAGTGTGCAAACCATCTCAAAAAGCTCTGATCGCAATTAGTCCTACAGATTTTTTTTAAAACTGGTTAACATAGTTTGAGGTTGTAATTTTAATGTAGAATATGAATAGTAAGCAGGCTTGTTTTTTTCTTAAAAGACTAAATATCACTGTTTTATTCTCTAATACAGAAAAAAAGGGCTATTTTGGTACATTACTAACTGAACAAGTTAATGTGATGATTGCAAGGAGTACTTAGTTTGGCATTTCCCCCTTGTGCTGAATGAGACTTGTTCTGACCTGTGTAGGTGCATGTGCCTTTAGAAGTCACCTCTGAGCAGTGAGTTTGTGTTAAGTAACGATATTTTTCATTTAATTTTTTTTTTAACTCATTAGCCATAGGTTGGAGCAACGGCTGAAAATGGCCCCTCAGTGGCGATTATAGGGACTTTGGGTGTACATGTGACAGGTGTGTAAAAGATGGGAGGCAGTAACGTCTGTCTCTCTTCTGTTGGTCTTTCTACAGACGAGACAGATCGAGGGGTGGACCAGCAGGATGGGAAGAATCACCCACAGTCCCCCGGATGCGAGGAGAGTGATGCTGGCAAAGAGGGGTTGATGAAGATGAGACTGCCCACCCGCTCAGACATGATATGTGGCTATGCTTGCCTGAAAGGTATTTGGAGAAGCAACATGAGTGCAGCTCACACTGTCCCACACTTGGGTTCCTTTTGTTTTCATACCAAGGCCTCTGACTAGAAGAGACCGTAGAGGTCTGTCTTTGTGAGGATTGTCCGTGACCTCCACGCCTCTGGTTTTAGGCACTGCTGCCATGCGGAACACCAAACGGGGTTCCTGGTACATTGAAGCACTCACTCAGGTTTTCTCTGAAAGAGCTTGTGACATGCACGTGGCTGACATGCTGGTTAAGGTAAGTCCGCACCATCTGGTGCTGAAAGCGGTGTGTCTGCTTCCTTCTGGCCTTGCACACTTCGGGGGTCTGCCCTTCCGGTTAGTCTGAATCATAGAAGCGCAAAGTGATCTCAGACTTTGGACCGTTGGTTCTGCCTTCCCAGGTGAATGCCCTTATCAAGGAACGTGAAGGCTACGCCCCTGGCACAGAGTTCCACCGATGCAAGGAGATGTCCGAGTACTGCAGTACGCTGTGCCGGCAGCTCTACCTGTTCCCAGGCCACCCACCCACGTGATGCCACCTGCCGCCCGTGCTGCTGGAGGCCACTGGACCACTGGGCACAATGGAGCCTTCGCTTCGGATGGTTTTTGTTTTTTCTTTTCTATCTACCCGCTCAGGGATATGAGACTCTCCCAGGCTTATTTCCTGCTGGCCATCTCCATCTTTGAGTATGAGACTTAAGGACAGCTCTTCGGTGTGGTGCTCTGTCCCTGCAGAGCCGGCTCTGAATGGATTTGTTGCCAGAAGCGTTTTGGTTATAGCCGAAGAGCCTGGAAAATGACATTGTGAACACAGTGTTACTGTGGAAAGAGGGCATGGGGATTTCTCAATGTTTGATATTTCTGTTCCCAGGGCTTTTAGGGGTACTTTGGTCACTGATTAGTCACGTCAGTTAAGGTATCTCAGAGATCATCTCCTGTCTTTTTTTTTTCTTTTCCATCTCTACAACCTCGTTTGTCCCAGAGTAAAGATTTGGAAGATGTCCCACTTTAACGTAGGTGTGTTCGTCTGTCTTGATGAGGCAGATGAGAGTCGGGCCGTGCTGCTGTGAGCAGAAGTTCCCGAGCATGCCTTCGCGTGCAGGCCCTAGTGTAGGGCTGTCTTCTCAGCTCCTTCGTGCTCTCTGCAGCCAGCCTTCGACAGAGCCTAAGGTCTGCGTGCCGTGACACTGGGCGCTACAGAAATTCCCCGGGCCATAGAAACGCAGTGACAGGTGAACACGCCGTGTCTCACACTGTCCCGTCACCAGGATGTCTCCTGCCTTACTGTGATTTCCACTATCTGGCCTCCAGAAGGTTCTTGCTTTGCACTGACGTGCCCCTCTTTGTCTTTCGTCCTGTTCGCCGCTTCTGCCAAGTCTGAGGTCCTCCTTTGCAGGCTCTTCTGGCCACTGAAGGTCTGTAGCATCTTCTTCCTTCCTTCCTTCCTTCCTTCCTTCCTTCCTTCCTTCCTTCCTTCCTTCCTTCCTTCCTTTCTTCCGTTTCTTGAGGCACTACCCCTCCCCCCATTGTTTCCTTGTGTCAGTGAGGATAGTACCATACATGATATTCCATTAACCTAAAGCACTTGTTTCTGCTTTTATGAAGCTTTATTTTTGTTTGTTTGTTTGTTTGTTTTCGAGGCAGGGTTTCTCTGTATAGTTTGGAGCCTGTCCTGGAACTCGCTCTGTAGATCAGGCTGGCCTCGAACTCATGGAGCCCCTCCTGTCTCTGCCTCCCAAGTGCTGGGATTAAAGGTGTGTGGCACTACTGTCCACCAGAACTTTATTATTCTTTAAAAACCTTTGCACTTCCATTTTTGCCTCTCTTCCAGTTTATCTTCCACATAACAGTAGTTTCAGTTTTTAATATATCTGATGATGTCGCTCCCTGCTTAGAGCACTAGCTTCCTTTACACCTCATCTGAAAGTCAAATCCTTACCCAGTTTACAGGATCTGGCTCTTACTTCCCTTGGATCTCAATAAATGGTGATCTCTCGCTGTGCTCCAGCCTCTCAGTGTCTCCTATCAGTGTCGCAGGTGTTCTGAGCTCTTCTTTAGGACAGTGTCTGATTCTCGAGTCTAGTGGCGCCCTCTCCACAAGCTGTCCTCTTTTGACTTCATTGTTCTTACTGCAGTTTGTAGCGGCACGTCCCTACCGAGCTGAAAGCTCCCAGAGAGCAGCACCGTGTTTCTTACTGTATACCCAGTGCTTGGCACTTAGTAGGTCTTCAATGAATGTTTCTTGAAAAACAAGGAGTCAAGCAGCTAGCTCCAGTTAAATCCTACCTTTTAGCAATTTCTAAATTGTTCCTACAGCATACAGTTTCATTAGTATTTGTGCTCTTTGGGGTTTTTTCAGGTGTTTTATTTTCATCCACTGATTTCTTGTTTGTTTTTAAACTGTTTGAAGACACGTCACGTGTGAGACAACTTCCTTCGCATCTCCATGGTGCCCAGCATATTTGAGGCCTATGGTAGTTGAGGTGCTCTATTAATGTTTGTTGTGTGAACCAGGTGGTTTGAAGACTTGCTGCCAAATTCTGCCTTTGGGTCAGTATAGGATGCATATATCTGAGTGGTAGAATCTTCACACTTCCCACTGCCAAGATTTTGTATTGCCATCAGGTGCCAAATAAATGTTGATACTTATTACTGATGTGTGTCGGGTGTCTATTTTTGGGGGTGCTCAGTCTTCGGAAGCTTTCGTATTGCATGTCCTTACGCTGCATGATTTCTTCCCCTCATTAGGTACGCCTTTCTGAAATCCCCAAACTTCGCTATCACTGTCTCTCGGTGTGGCCAGATGTGGGCCCGTCTTCATTGGCATGGCCCCGGCATGTCTCATGTTCTCAGGAGTTAGAGGAACAAGCAGTAGTTGCCCTGGCTTATTAGGTTATAGAATGGAGGCTGAAATAGCAGAGTTAAAGAGAGGAGGAGGTAGAAGGGGGAGGAGATACTGGAATTTCATTTTTCACCTGGCCCAAATTAGATTTAAGATTTATCAAAGCAGAAAAACTCAGCATTCTAGGTTGCCCATAAAAAGATGTGAACAGTGGGCTTCAGGTTGGGGTGCGTTCATGGAAAGGTAGCAGATGTTTAAGTAGTGGCTAGGGAGGTTTGTGAGAAGCAGGAAATTCTGTGGGGGCATTGGAGACTGAGGAGCCGAGGACAGGGCTGGCAGGGGTGTCTCAGCCAGCTGGGTAATTAAAGCTTGTCTCCAGAGTGGGGGGGGGGGCAGGCGGGAGGACATTGGGTGCAAAAGAGCCTAGGATGGGGAGACTGGCCAGAGTTCCAGCTCAAGTGAAGCTGGAAACGAGGTCTACAAGTTAGGTGGACATAGCTACCCATTCTCAAGACAGCAAAGACACAGACACGAGAGGTGTGGTCTCGGGGAATTTTGGAGCGGGCGCCTGCCTGAGCTGGAGTCCATGTCCTTCCCACCCGCCCTTGAGTGAGGGTGTCAGGTTGGGTTTCATGGCTCTCCTCCCTTCCCTTCCCCCACCCAGCTTACCTCTGCCAGGGGATTCTCTTCTAAAATTAACCCCCTTCCTGAGGTGGGGACTGTCCTGTACTGCCCTTCCCCATCCTGTTTTCTCCAACAGGAAAGGAAGAGAGGAAGCGATGAAACCACTGTTCATCAGAGCAAAGCTGGCAGAAGGGGAGGGAGGCAGCTACAGCTGATGCCGGGTTGTCGGCGGGCTCCTCGCTGGCTGGGAGACTGCTTCCCTGGAGTCCCATGAGGGAGCTGCTTTCCCCTGCTTTTCCCCAGGAGAGACAGTAAGGCTCACACTTTGAGCATGTCTTCCAAAAATCACATAGCTCTGATTTCCTCATAGTGCTGCCTCTAATGCTGCTGAGACACGGGCTAAAGGAGCTGAAAGAATCTGTTTGCCCTTTTCTAAAAGGAAGGAAAGGGTTTGTGTCTTAAAAAAAAAATCACTGTAAGGGTTGAAAGTGATTATGCCAGGAAAACCCTGTAATGGAAAAGAGAGACAGGTGAAAAAAACTGGTATAGTACACCGGAAGGCCTAATCTGCAGAGCATGGGAAAAGACCAAGGGTTCTTAAAGGGATGGAGAGAATGAAACCTGGTGTGGCGTGGAAGAGGCTGGAGCAGTGAGGCGTGCTCGGGACAGAGTGCCCTGGAGAAGTTGTGGTTGCTTTGCTGAAACACAGGACCGAGGTAGCTGGCGTCCATGCTGCCTGGATACACACAAGGAAAGAGATGAATGGAAACGTCCTTAGAGTGTGATGGTCAGGGTGTGGTCCCTTTGTGCCACACCCCTCATCAGACCCCTTGTCTAGTCTGCCCTGGAGCACGCTTCCTTCGGCTGTGATGAACCTGCCCGTTTCACACATAGACGGTGGTGTTTGGGTAAGAGTATAGCTCGGCGGTAGGATGGTGCTTCTCTAGCATGGCCTCTCTTTAGTTCTCAATAATACAAAGTTAAGCGTCATATTTGTTGCCCTATGTACTGAGGAGGTCAAACTAGCAGAGGTTGGAGATGGAAAACGAGCATAACCTGGAAAGAAAAATCTGTTTTTAAATTTGGGGGTAGAGATGCTAAAAGACAAATCTCATGACTGCTTGCTCGTGTAACACGGTTTTAATCTCAGTGTCATGGTCCATAGGAGATGGTTTAGAACCTTAAAAGAGCTGGATGCTGGTGGCGCATGGCTTTAATCCCAGCACTCAGGAGGCAGAGGCAGGAGGATCTCTGAGTTTGAGGTCAGCCTGGTCTACAGAGTGAGTTCCAGGACAGCCAAGGCTACACAGAGAAACCCTGTCTCTAAAACCAAACAACAACAACAACAAAACCTTGGAAGAATACACATAAGTGCTATGTGTATTTTCAAATTTAGGACCTTGTAAGACCCGAAGCCCAACTTGGGACCCTCCGCATCAGAACCTAAACACTTGAGTTCAATAAGATGTTGGAGTAATGGAGTTTACATTTGGTTCTCTTGTAAAATAGCTCATCGGATTTAAACTCTTAATTTCAGACACAATCTATTTCAACTCTTAAATCCCTGCAGTCCAGCCCAAGTAGCCTATATGTGTTGATGCCTCTGCAGGGAGAATCAGGATCTTATAACTGCACTCGGTACTTTTCACGTGGGCCGCATGCTTCCCATTCAGCTGGCCAGGGCGTGAGCATGTGGAGTCGCTGCTAGTCGGTGATTTCAGATCTCAGTCCATGACCACACTGCTGTTCTGCTTTAGGGTGCTCTGGGATGCTTTGGAAGCACCAACCACACCTGACACTTGTTTCTGGAGGTTTCCTACAGAAGAGTGGTAACCTTCAGAGAGCCAGGCTCCACAAATGGGGAAAATCTGTCTCTGAAGCCCTCCAAGAATGTATATATATAGTCTCTGTTCCTTATTAGGAATCCCTTGATCTTGGGTTTTCTATTGTCTTCATCTAACTTATCACTCCCTCTGCCATCCCAAGTTAGTAATTTTTGTGGGTGGATTGTAAGCCGTGCAATCTCAGAGCTGACTCTAGAAAGGGTGGTTTTTTTTTCTTTTATTTTCAGCTTTACTGGCGTATAATTGGCCATTAGAAATAGTATGCATAGCGAAGGCACACAGCCTGGTGTACTAGCAGATATGCTTTGTGAAATGATCCCCAGGATCCAGGTTCTTACCCATCACCTCACATTATGCATATGTGTATGTGTGGACACTTGAGACCTACCCCTAGCAGGTTTCAGGCACACGGAACAGTGTTGCTAACCGTAGCTACCACGTTTAGCAGCCCCTCTAAAACCCAGAGCCGAATAACTGGTGTGTGCCCATGACCAGCGTCTTCCCAGGACTCCCAGGGCCCGCCCCATCTCGGCCCATGGCCTTCAACCCTGTACGTGTTGTGATTCTGCGTGCAAACGGCATGCACGGTATTTGAGTGTGTCTGACGTCCTTACCATTCTCTGAAAGAAAGTGCCTCTCTTGACGCTGAGTCCTTTGTGTTTGTGCCTTCGCCTGTCGACGGACGTAGGAGTGACTCTTTTCTGGGCTGTTGTGAATATGCCACGGTGAACAAAAGAGAACAGATAGCCGAGAGACAGTGGTTTGTTTTCCTTTCTCCGCAGAAACGCCAAGTAGGGTTGCTAAGTCTCACAGTGGTTCCATTTCTGACTTACTGCTTTCCGTGAGGACCACGACGGCATCTCCCACCGTTGGTACCCAAGGGCTCCCCTTTCTCTGCATCCCCACCAGTACTTGGCCGCATTTGTCCTTGGCGTTGGCCATCCTAACAGGTGTGAGGCGGTTTCTCTCTGAGCTTTGCGTGTCTGCTTCCCTTTGGTAAATGACAATTCAGCACCTAGAAATGGGACTGTTAGGCCAGCAAGACAACTCCGTGGAAGGATTACTTGCAGCCTGATGACCTGAGTTTGAGCCCAGGAGTCCACATGGTGGAAGGAGAGACTCAGTTCCCAAACATTGTTCTCTGACACTCACACACGTGTACACACTCACACACACTCACACACGTGTACACACACACAAACACACGCACACACACAGTGATTTTTCTTTTTTAAAGAAAAGCCAGAGAGATGGCTCAGTGCTCAAGAGAACTTACCACGTTTGTAGAGGACCAGCCAACAAGCATGTTGAGCCACTCTCAGTTGCTGTAACTCCCCTGCAAGGGGATCTGACAACCTCTTCTGAACTCATGGGCACCTGTACTCATGTGAACGTCCACACAGATTCCTAGTTAAATTCCTAGCCTCCCACCTTGAGAAATTCCACTTAACTTAGGTCAGAACCGTATTGCAGACCAGAGACTTTGCGTCCATACCTTCAACCCCTGAACTTGGACTTCCTCCGAGAGAGACCCCCCTTGGTGGTGAATCCTAAATTTAGTTTGCCTTACTTCCGTCTATAATGACCTCATAGGCAAAGAATGTCTCAGAAAAGTCGATGGGCCAGGAAGTGCTTGCCTTTAATCCCAGCATTCTCCAGATAGAGGCAGGCAGATCTCTGCGAGTTCAAGGCTGGCCTCGTCTCCAGAGTGAGTTCCAGGACAGGCAGGGCTACACAAGGAAACCCTGTGTCAAAAACTAAACAACAACAACAAAAAAAGATAAGGGAAATTGATGGGAAAAGCACAATGCCATATGGAGTACTTTGTCCTTTCTTCATCAAGCTTAATTTATTGACTAGAAAGGAGAAGGTTACTTCTCCATTGCTTGTTTATTAAGTTCCCTATGACTCTATCCTACTTCCTCTTCTCACCTGTTATCTAACCTACCCTGGTAGAACTGTCTTGGGTACCACATTCCAGAAGGAAGCTCAGCCCCTCCCTATTGGTGGGGCTAACATGCGTGTCTGGGAAACGAGAGATACTGCAGATACCCAAGGGTGTTACCCCTGCTTCCCACAACATCCCACACCCAGTGGGTGACAAGGGTGGCATCCAGGGGAAGGGACTCAAGTGTCTTTAGCTGCCTCCGGCAGACTTAAGGGCAGAATCCTCCGAATGGGATGCGTGTGGAGAGCTGGCCACAGAGATGTTCAGGGTCCGGATGAGGACAGAACCTTGAAGAGATAACTGAGCTGCAACCAGCCAGCCAGGGGAGATGACAGAGAGGCGGCGGCTACTCTCCCAGGTGAGCTGTCTGTCTATTGTCCAGAACCCTGAGTGGCTTCATTGAGCTCTCCCTACCCTCTCCTCCCACGAGGTCTTCAGGGAAGGCTCAGCTCTACACACAGCCTGGAAACTGCACTAGGAAACCTTTCATCCTAGTCCTGATGATATTTATAGAGGGACGAGTGACCTGGAGCTGTGAGTCCTCCTAGGGAAGGGACAGTGCTGCTGGCTGGCAAAGGGAATTCCCTGTTGGACTGTCCCATAGGTTTTCATCCTAACCCCCCAACCCCCACACTGCACTCACACCTGCTTCGACCCCAGGGGGATCAGATGTGGCGGTGGGGGGGGGCGGAGGAGGGGTCATGTGATGGAGAGGCAGCTATAAATAGCTGGAGGTGGGCATGGTGCCCCAGACGCCTTGGGGACAGGCAAAAGCAGAGGCTTAAGGAGCTCCTGGGGAGAGATAGGGAGCCAGCAGGCCAAAGGCCTGGCTGGGGCTTGGGGGTTGGACGCATGGAACGGTCCCAATCCCAGTCCCAGCAGCATGGGGGTGAACAAAACTGGTGGGGTAGTGCCCCCCAGTACCAGTACATGCCGTTTGAACACTGCACCAGCTATGGACTGCCCTCAGAGAATGGGGGCCTTCAGCACCGGCCCCGAAAGGACATGGGTCCCAGGCACAATGCCCACCCGACACAGGTAAAGTCTGTGCCCTGGAGGGGAACAGTGTCAGTGGGGGCCAAGGGTTGCTGAAAATTGGGAGTTAGGTGCAAGGGGGAATGGCATTTATTTTTGAAGGTTAAACGGTAAATGTGTTCAAAATATGTGTTTATAAAGATCTGAGCTTGGCGTATTAAAGCTTGTGTGCACTTTCAAATAGCGTGTGGGAAGCCAGCAGAGCCGCCTTCATGGTAACACAGTGTAGAGGGCATGCTTACATGCTTGTATAACGAGAGTGGTTCTCTAGAGCTGAAATGCTATGAGGATCTCCTCTGCCCACACCCACGTGCAGACAGCATGGGGTTTCTCCACCCCGTGGATGCCCTGTAGAATGCTTGCATAAACACACACACACACACACACACACACACACACACTTCCACAAAAGACAGGAGGAAGGCACCAGGACTAGCAGGGAAAACAGTGAGTGATTTATCAGTCATCAGTGACCAGTATTAAAGTGAGCACAGAAATGGTGACAAGTTTTAAGGGTTTGGAGGTAGAATTCTGGTGGAGCATTTACCTAGCTTGTATGAGTCCTTGGGATCTTGTTTCTGGGGGGTGTCCTTGTAATTGTTAAAAGGCCAACAAAATGGTTCAGTAAGTAGCTTCCAAGCCTGAGAAATTGAGTTCAATTCCTGGGACCCACCCACGAGGAAAAGAACACACTCCTACAGGTTCTCTCTCTCTCTCTCTCTCTCTCTCTCTCTCTCTCTCTCTCTCTCTCTCTCTCTCTCACACACACACACACACACACACACACACACAAACATACATACACACACACACACACATTAATTAATTATAAAGCAATGTAAGATTTCTGTCACTTAGGAAAGTGCACAACTGTGCCCAGAGGCAATTGCCACCCAAGGCTGGGGGATCAGTGGTGTATGGACAACTAAGGGAAGAGAAATGGGGGTGGGCACAAGACAGGGGAGGTGAAATTGCCTTGAGGAACTTACAAGTCACCATTCACATAAGTAAGTGTGCCTCTTCACTACAGAGAATGCAGAATGGGACCGAATGGAAAGGGGGGTCGGTGGGAACAAGATCAGACCTCGGAAGGGTTTTTCTGACAGCGCTGTGGTTCTGAGTCAGGGTGAGAACCTGGAAGTAGGCTGTGTGGGAGTGTCAGCAAGAGGGATCCGTTCTCTGAGCAGTTGAGAAGGGTAGGTTCACAGTGGGGAGGGAGGTGTGTTGAGAGGACCGAAAGAGGCAGCTCCTCCTTCCTCTAGTGCTGGTCATTTCTGGAGAAGGCAGGCTGGCCACTTGAGCAAAGGTCCAATTAGAGCATTTTTTCTTTTTTGTGTTTTTAAAGACAGGGTTTCTCTATGTAGCCTTGGCTATCCTCTGCTATACTTGCTGTGTAGACCAGGCTGACCTCAAGCTTACAGAGATCCACTGGCCTCTACCTCCCAAGAGCTGGGATTATAGATAGGTATGCACCAGCACCACCTGGCTGGTTAAGGCACTTTCTGATGACGGGACACTTGGCTAAAGGAACTCATGCTTCAATTAGGAAAGAATGGCAAGTTAGTTTGGGAGCAGGGTTCATCCAGATCCCAGTGTGCCTTGAAAGCAAGCAGGAATGCGGTGTTTTCTTTGTCTGATACTTGCGAGGGAAAGTACCGTACTTACACAGAAGCCAGGATGTCATAATGAGCTCCCAGGATGCAGCAGTCATTAGCATTTTGTCAGGATGGTTCTGACCCTCATTCCCACCCTCCGCCCTGCACACACCAGAGGACTCTACACTTGCAGACATTTCATCCCTTGTACGTTTTGGTTTTGATTTCTCAGTCCCCTCTAAACATGCCGTAGTGTGGTGGTTACTGCTGGACCAGCAGAATACATCTGGCTCTTACAGTGTTTTCCCAGCCTGGGTGTTGGAAGAGAGCACACTGTTTCCTCATTTCTCCCAGTCCACAACTCAGAGTGCTTAGGCGACCCCAATAGTTGATCCTCAGTGGAAGTATTTCCTGGTTTGTTGGGTGTGTTTGTTTTTGACACAGGATCTTACTACGATCCCCGATTAACCTGGAACTCTCTATGTAGATCAGGTTGGCATCAAACTCAGAGAATCTCTGCCCCCACAGTGCTGGGATTAAAGGTGTGCGCTACCGGGCCCAGCTGGGAGTAATTTTTGTCTCTGGCTCACGGTTTGAGTTTGAGCAGGATAATTATTAGTATGTGCCTGCTCGGGACCGCAACATTAAACTGCTGCTCGTATTGTGAAATAAGATCTCTTCCACCCAGGCTCTCCCAGAATCAGCCACATGGCCTGGCCTGACCCTGGACCCAGAGGATGGATTAGTATAGGATGTGGGGAGGGGGGCAGCATGAAATTATTAGCACTCATATCCTTCATGGCACAAATGCCAATGTGGGTTCAGGGATGCACCCCTTCACTTGTTGGTAGGATCCAACAAGTTAGCTCACTTTGGGAAGTAGATTAAATCACCTTCTTGGACCCAGTTCCTGTTTGTGTCTACAAGCTCTGGAATGTGAGCTGGGTGGGCTTTGTACAATTTTAATAGGGAGGCCAAGCATCTCAAGGCGGACAGGCATCGCAGGGCAGAATGCAAGCAGTCACCCTCTAGCCCTGTGAAAACATAAAGCCTGTCTCTAGCTAGGTTAGTGTGGCCTCTCTTTGTCTAGGTTGGTACCCTGAGGTAGGAAGTCAATGCAGGGGTGCCAGGAGAATATAGAGACGCGCAGAACATGGGTGATACATGAAAATTATGATTTCCGTGCAGTTCTTAGTACCTTTACTTCCAAGTAGAAGTTAGCTGGTGTGCCTGGGTTAGGGGAAATGTATGAAACTGTATGAGAAACAGGACGATAATAGGCATCTGTAAATGGACGGTAAAGATATGAGAGAAGTGATGGCCATAAGGTACCCTGAAGCAACCTTCAATGCCAGATTCAGACCATTTCCTCTTTGCTCCGTAAATCTATGTCTACATAATGGTGTCTCCTGTATTCTTTCTGACTCTTCAACAAGGTAGACACTGACCATCCTTTACCCCATACAGATATATGGCCACCACAAGGAAAGTTATTCCTACAAGGAGCAAGACGGGGGGATGCCCAAGAAGATGGGCTCCAGTTCCACCGTGAACAGCCTGGATGAGGACCACTATTCTAAATGTCAAGGTGACGGGGACTGAGAATTAAAGGAATCTGGAATAGGAGGCACAGGGATTGGGAGAATAACCTGGATGTTCCCATTACACATTTCCCAACACACACACACACACACACACACACACACACACACACACACACACACACACACACAAGCTCCAAAGCCCTCTTTTGAGTAAGCGAAAGGCATATCCACCCCACCCCCTTAGTTCTTTGCCTTATTTCTGCTTTCCCAATAGAAGGAAACTAGCTTTACATGGAAATCCATGTATCCGTGGGGATTGCAGCCATAGGGCTTTCTGGCCAGGATAAGCACAGCACCTGGCAGAGATGTAAAGAGGTGTCCAATGACTAACGCACAGACGACTCCAACGTCCACTCTTCAGTCCGCTCCCCAAGAGATGACTAGAAAGCTGCCTCCCCCCTCATTTACCCTTCTCTCTTCCTAGACTGTGTCCACCGCCTGGGACAGGTCGTCAGAAGGAAGCTGGGGGAGGACTGGATCTTCCTTGTGCTCCTGGGCCTACTGATGGCTCTGGTCAGCTGGTGCATGGACTACGTTAGCGCCAAGAGCCTTCAGGGTAGGTTCTCCCGGGACTGTTGCCCCTGCCTTCTCCATATTGGAACTGTTTCTGAGCTCTTTGCCTACACCCAGGTGTGTTTGGGTTCTAAGGTATCTCGTGAGTGGTCAAGCGTAACTTTGACTCCAGATTAAAACTAAACTTAGGAGAACCGAATCCCCACCCACGCCTTTCCCGCTAACTGCTACCCAAACTGTGAGTGTCCCTCAAGAGGGGGTCAACTTTCCCAGGGTTCTCCCCATTTTCGTCACGAGATATGCGAGTCTCGGGAGTCCCTTCGATTGTCAGTGGACACCTCTGGCCTCTAGCCAGGTGCTACAGCCTCTTACTCAACGGTGATATGCACAACAGCCACCAGCTGCCTCTCTGCCAGAGGGGGACTTGGGCAACAGATAATCAATCACCTGGCTCAACTCAGGGGAGTTCCTGCATGTGCAGTGGAGGGAATTCCTGGGGCCAGGCAAATAAGAGGAGCAGGGGCGTGAGGGCAAGCTGGCACGGTGGTAAGACAGTTTTCACTGTCCTTTCCTGAGCTCTGACTGCCCCAGGTTATGTGTTCCTGTCCCCGCAGCCTACAAGTGGACCTATGCCCAGATGCAGCCCAGCCTTCCCCTGCAGTACCTGGCCTGGGTCACCTTCCCACTTATCCTCATCCTCTTCAGTGCCCTCTTTTGCCAGCTCATCTCTCCACAGGCTGTGGGTGAGTGCTTTCTGTGGGACGACACAGTCTGGCTTCTTACAGACCTCCTACCCTGAATTCCCTCCACCCTCCAGACTCCTTGGAGGCCTCAACATGGTTATCCCTTTCCCCATCTCTACGTTCTTCTCCCTTTTAAACTCTAGCTCAAACCTGTGTGTTATCCTTTTTTTTTTTTAACCCTCTTAGGCTCTGGAATACCTGAGATGAAAACAATTCTTCGTGGTGTTGTCTTGAAGGAATACCTCACACTCAAGGCCTTTGTAGCCAAGGTGGTGGCCTTAACGGCTGGGCTGGGCAGTGGCATCCCTGTGGGAAAAGAGGTAGGTCTGTGTAGCTTAGAGAAGGGCTGGGAGAGCTGACTGGACTCGGCAGAGGCCAAAGAGCAGTAACAAGGGGAAGCCTTGGCCGTTCCTCACCCTGGAGTTGGGGATGGACTGTACAAGCTGGGCTAACCTTACAGCAGCCCCTCCACCTGGACATAAGTATGGTTAGGGGTTGGAAAACTCTGCTGGGAAGAGGGATGTTGCTCTGGGCCCTGTGGGAGGCTAGCGTTATCCCTGGCTTCTAACCAGAGACACCGGTAGCAGGCCCCAATTATGACAACCAGAGTATCCCTAGAAAACACCAACCCTGTACGTAACCTGAACCATTCTCCTTGTATTATTTATTTTTCATTTATCTATTACTTATTTTTGTTCTGTGTCTGGCTGTTTGCTTGCTTGAGATAGTCTCGTTCTGGAACTTACATGTAGGCCAGGCTAGCCTCGAAGTCAGCACGGTCCTTGGGTTTCTGCCTATTTCGACGTGAGGAAGCCGAGACCTACATTGAGTCTTCTTTCTTGGAGGTGACAACGAGGCTCCTCCAGCTCCATCCCTGTGTGAACTCTCCTCTCCATCAGCCTTCCACACAGCAGCCAAAGCGTCCTTCGAAACGCAGTCGGACACGTCTGACCTCTGTATGGTCTCGAGAGCTTGCCGTATCACTTAATTAACATAAGATCTTCACTCCCAGGCTGACCTACCTCCTCCTGCCTGTCCGAGTCTCCAACCTCACCTCCTGGCTGCTCCTCTGTGCTTGAATGACGAGGCTTTTTTTCCACCTTCTCATCATGCCATGCTTGTCCACTCGGGACCCCTGAGTTCGCTGTTCCCTCTGCCTAGGACACTCTCCGCCTGGCACCCGTAGACTCGCTCCTGTGATTATCACCGAAGGCGCTAACGCGGGTGGTGACTGGCCAGGGAATGACACCTTCTCCCCCACATCCTACCTCTTTGTTTGCTTCCTAGCCTTGGCATTATCTGAAAACGCACTGTTTTATCGTCTCTTCTTCCCTGGGATGAGTCTCCTTTAGGGCAGAACTTTTCGTCTGGTTCCGCTCTTCCCGTCACCTAGCCCCGGGCTTTGGAGCAGGAACTTCTGGTTCAGTGGAGTGAGTCTCCATGCTTCTCTCCCATCCCTGATGCCCGACTTTCCTGTTTTCCTGCAGGGTCCCTTTGTTCATATTGCTAGCATCTGCGCCGCCGTCCTGAGCAAGTTTATGTCCATGTTCTGTGGTGTCTATGAGGTAAGGGTGAGGCAGTATAGCCCAGCAGGGGCTGGCTGGTAGAAGGAAGGAAGCCCTCGGTGTGCGCAGAGAGCTGGGGAGGGTTGCCTGCTCTGGGCTGGCCTTGGCGCTGAAGGCGGCATCTCGAGAACTAACCCACGCTCCGGTCCTCCGTGTCGGTGCCTGCTGACCCTAGCCGTATATCCCCTCCGTCCAGCTTCCGTCTGTCCTCCTAGTGTCTAGCCCTTCCTGACCTGTGCCTTTCTGAGGTGACCTGAGCCAGGCCTGCCCCATGCTGCCCACACGACTGTGTCAGCCCCTCTCCATGTCCCCTCCTGCGCCGCCCCTGTCCTGACCCCCGTCCACCCTGGTTCACACGCTATGCCGCCCGCCCGTGCCACCTGCCTTGCCCGAAGTGCTTCTCTGTTGCAGACCGTGCCTGGGCAGCTTGATCTCCTGGCGCCAGCCTGTGCAGTGGGCGTGGGATGCTGCTTCGCAGCCCCTGTCGGAGGCAAGTTTCACTTCCTCCCTACTCGGGTTGCCTGAGCCAGACTTGGAGGGGTGGTGGGGGCCTGCTCTAGCTTTTGGGCAGAGGGGCCGTGCTCACCGAAGGGACTGATGGGTGGGCAGCCAGGGAGTGACTGGATTGTAGCCTGTGGTCTCCAGGGGCCCATGTGCTTCTTCTAGAGAGCGGAGTGTTTCTTTTGACACCGCTGCTTTTTCCTGCAGGCGTTACCACTACTTTGTTCGGTTGGGAGTAAGAGTCCTTGCCTGCCTCTTGCTGCTTATCCTCAAGGCCCTCTTTGTGTGGTCATTACTTGTCCATTTGCCTGCCTGACATCTACTTACTTAACACCTTTCCTTGGTTTGTTTTCGATTGTTGGCCTTGAGCGTGTGCGGTCACTTCTTGGTTGCCATACTTATTGAGTTCCCCCGACCCGTAGAACCAAAGGGATGTTGGGAACACGTTTACTCCTGTGATGTAGGCCTCTCCTTCTTCTTTGTTTCTCACCCCCGACTTATTCTCTCCCCATCTCTCTGCCCTGCCCTTCTCCTGTCTGTCTGTCTGTCTGTCTGTCTGTCTGTCTGTCTGTCTGTCTGTCTGTCTCTCTCTCTCTCTCTCCCTAGTAGCAGCCGTACTATTACACCGACATCCTGACAGTGGGCTGCGCCGTGGGGGTTGGCTGCTGTTTTGGAACACCACTTGGAGGCAAGTCCACGCCGTCCGCAGTGCATGGGCCCCATTTGCCTTACCTTGCTCAACGCCTGGCTCCGGTCAGCTTCACCGGGATCTTGAATTAACCATTTTTCACCATAACAAGAACTGCCACTCTTAGGAGGCATGTGCCCTGTGCCTTGTTCTAACCATCTTACGTGGATTCCCATTTAACAACCGTGAGTGTGGCTTGATAGAACTGCATTATAGAAAGGGCACATTGTTAGCGCCTACAGAGCCAGAGATTAGAACCACAGCAGCCCCCCCGTCCCCCGTCCCACGCACACTAAAGCCTTTTTCCATTGCCAGTATCTTTGCTTTACATTTACTTTTGTGTAGCGGGAGATTTTGCGTACTTCCTTCTCCAAGGGAAAACTTACCTCTTGTTGTATTTTATCAGAGACACTAGGGTTTTGGTAGACTGTAATAGACTAATGGTGAACTTTAGAACGAGAAGTACTTACAGGAGCTTTCAAGAAAGTTGTTTCTTGACATGCCAGCAATTTACAAGTGGGTTTTACTCTTTCTATCCATATAAGGGCAAGATATTATCATGGGCTATTAGTTACAGGACATAGTCACAAAAGGGATCATTTCCTTATCAAAATTGAGCTGCAGCTATGTTAACAGGGCAGGGATTAATTATATGGCTCACTCACTGAAATCTCTAATGATGAAATTTCATGTTGATAATTGAAGAAATACAGTTATAGGAAGGGTATGTGCTTTTTTTTTTGTTTGTTTGTTTTTTGTTTTTCGAGACGGTTTCTCTGTGGCTTTGGAGGCTGTCCTGGAACTAGCTCTTGTAGACCAGGCTGGTCTCGAACTCACAAAGATCTGCCTGTCTCTGCCTCCCAAGTGCTGGGATTAAAGGCGTGCGCCACCAACGCCCGGCAGGGTATGTGCTTTTTAGACAACAAACTGCTAGAAGGCTTTTTTGTTTTTTTTGTTGTTGTTGTTTTTGTTTTTTAAAGAAGGCTCTTTTCAGTGATGAGTTAGTCTTTTCATAGATGAGTTGTCGAGGTATCTAAAATGGCGTGGCTCAGAAATGATGTATGGGTGAGAGTTCAGAATTACTGAGAGCATATCCCCTACGCCTTGTCCTCACATGGTGGAAGCCTGCAGCATGAGGAAACCCAGGGTGCGTGTAACCACCGGCATCCGATTTGCACTTCTGGTGTCTACTCCAGTCATTCAAGTCATCAGCCGCTGTCAATGGATGGTGGTGTGTCTGAGTTTCTGCATGTCGGATGCTCACGCCTGTATTTATACACACATTGCCCCTAGCCTTCCAAATGAAAGAAGAGTGTGTGGTTGTCTTCGTTTTGTTAGAGACATGTCCAAGTGAAGAGAGCCTGCATTCTCTTCCTGGGACTCCAGTTTATGAGGAGCCAATGGGTTCTTTCTGGTCTTGTGACAAGGATGGGAAGGAACGTCACCCTAGGAAAGTTTGTTCTGGACACAAGGAATTGTTAAGCACTTGCAAGTCAAGGGGCTGTGCTCAGGCTGTTCACATTATGCTGCACATGACAAACCTATCTGCAGGTGGCAGTACTTGATTCTTTTTATGAACACAGAATAACTGAAAGGGAAAAAATGTAGTTTTGAGATCTTTTACTCACAGCATAGGCAACTCCTAATTCCTTGTGCTAATCAAAGAAATGTAATTCAGCATCCTGTTGGAACAACCAAAGCCCTATTGTTTCCATTTTGTGCCGCATGGTTGGTTGGTCCTGCACTCTCAAGTGGCTCAAGGAGGCAGGCACAGAGAGATCATCACAGGCAGTTAATGACCCTGTGCCATTCCTAGGCAAAGTGCAGGAACCCTTCACAGCAGCCTGGGGGTGCCTGAGAAGTTCTATGAAAGAGACAGTGTTTGTTATGGGTGTCATTAGTAAGTGGAGTCTGCAAGGAGGAAAGAAAACCCTGAACAGAATGGACCGGATCCAAAGTCAATATCTGCCCTTAATGGGTAGTACGGGGGAGAATAGGAAAGTGGAACAGGAAGTGACTCAGAACAGATAAGTGGGACTGAATCCTGATGGTGTGCACAAGTCATGCAGGGTAGTACAGGTTTTACCCCCTGGGGGAGTGTTTGCCCAGATACGTTTTACAGAGAGCACAGTTCTTCCCGGTGCTAGTAGGTGTAAGGGTTGAAAACCCGTCGCAAGTTCCAATTGATTAGAAAATGCATGGTTAAAAAGAACTATAAATAAATAGCTAAAAAACTAATGAACTGCAAAGTTTATCAAAACCCCTGAGATGCCGGGATGCGTTGTGAACACCCAGGGTAGCTGCAAACAGCCATTCCCCACCAAGTCTCCTTTGCAGACACCTTGTCATAGGACTTATGTCACCTCATGGGACTGACCTTGTGAGGTACAGTTGTGGGTGAAGTGAAACCGTGGAAGGATTTAAAACAAGGAAGGGGCATGGTTAGCTCGGCCTGCTCATCCAATCCCCTTGGCACGTGTGTGCAGGGCAGATTAACAGGAGTGATCTAAGATTAACAAGAAGACTATTGTCATCGTCCTGACGCTAGGTGATGACAGACAGAACTGGGCAGCAGAGGAGGGGCTGGGAAATTCAAGTGGCATCAAGTCAAATCGATGCTGCGGGTTGGCTAATTTTTACATGAGGGGAGGAGAGGGAGTTCTCCGCCAACATCCATGCTCGCAGCACCGGCAACGCAGTCGATAGCGTAGTGATATTCGTGCCTATGAAGAGGACACGGGAAGCTAACTGGATCTGGAGGGGGCGTGAGCATATTTTGCTCGGAGGATATTGAGTTTAGAGTTCCTGTGGCGTGGCCAGATAATATAAAGTAGGCAGCTAGTTAGATGAGTCTACAGTCCAGGGACTGAGCTAAATCTAATCGGTAGCCCGTGTCCGTGATTGATACCACAGGCATAAATGAAACAGAAAGAAATTACGTCTGCAAGTAGCAGGAGATAGGGACCAAGAGCAGTCGATGTCTTCAGAAGGGCAGAGGTGTGGGAGCAAGAAGAGAAACTAGAGAAGGAACCCAGAGTGGAAAAGAGAGAGAGCAGTGTTCCCGACCGAAGGCATCGGAGTGGCTAGCAGCTGTTTTTATTTATTTATTTATTTATTTATTTATTTATTTATTTATTTATTTTTTGGTTTTACGAGACAGGGTTTCTCTGTGCTGTTTTGGAGGCTGTCGGTCCAGCCCGGCCTCGAACTCACAGAGATCCACCTGCCTCTGCCTCCTGAGTGCTGGGATTAAAGGCGTGCGCCACCACCGCTGGCTAGCAGCTGTTTTTAAAGCTCTCTCTTAGCAGCACACCTCATGCTTGTCTCAGGTAATAGGAAACTTAGTTCTCGCTCCTGATCACACTCTGACACTCAGACTGCTTCAGAAGAGCCTGCCAGGTCTCTATGAGGGGGGTGGTGGTTGTAACATAGAAGTTACATAATGGCACCCGAACAAAGTAAAGCTGATTTTACTTTTATTATGGCAAACCAAGGGAGAGAGGCCCACTCCACCTGATTCCTACTGTGGATTTCTCCCCTTAGGGTTTTTTTTTTTTTTCTGAGACTGGGTTTCTCTGTGTGACTCTGGTTGTCCTGGAACCCGCTTTGTAGACCAGATTGGCCTCAAACTCAGAGAGACCTGCCTGTCTCTGCCTCGTGAGTGCTGGAATTAAAGGCATGTGCCACCACTGCCAGGCATGATTTACTTATATTTACTTTATGTAAATTGGTGCTTTACCTGCATGTATGTCTGTGTGAGGGTGTTAGATCCGCTGGAGCTGGAGTTACGGGCAGATATGGGCTGCTATGGGGTCCTGGGAATTGAACCTGGGACTTCTGAAAGAGCAGTCAGTGCTGTTAAGCACCGAGCAATATCTCCAGCCCCCTTGGCTCCATTCTTTGAAATTCCCCTGCTGTATTCTTTCCTCTTCCGTCTCCTCTTTTCTCCTGCCCATCCCAACACAGGCATTGAGCCCCAAATGGGCACTTACCACTGTGCTGGGACTTAGGAACCTCTAATCCCAGGGAAACTCAGCAGTATAGACAGATCTGAAAGTGGAAAATAGAATAACCCGAAATGCCAGGAGAGTAGCATGAGAAATGAATCTTCCTTGACAAGGAAGCGGCATTCCAGAGGAGACACAGGGAAAACCCTCTGCCAAAACACAGCTTTGGCTCAAGGAGACAGCGGCACCCCACTACCGTCTTCTTGGTATGTAGACTCAATGTGACTAATCACTGTCCCCTGCAAAAAGGATTCAAGAGATGTGACTTTTGACTACAGACTGGAGGAAGAGAACTCCTATTGTGTTAGCTGCTGTCAGAAGAGGGAGGCGATGGCTGGCCTTGAACAGACCAACAATTTACCCTGTGGAAAAAGAAAAAGACCAAGCCTTGTTCATGTTTTGTTTTGTTTTTCCTCCAGGGCTGGTCCTCATGTCCCCTACCTCAGTTCTCTCTCCTGTTTGCTGTGGATGAGACTTAGCCAAGTTTTAGGAATGTCATTGGTGCCCTAGAGAGATCAATTCCCTTATCCTAAGGCGTGCGGGCGGCTTCTTTTCTTTGCTGTTTCAAATGGTGCTTTTATGGCTTCATAAGCATCGCTTCCTTTGGCTCAGCTCTTCCGGTGTGTATGCTCCTCCTCCTCACTTCCTGCTTGCGCATCTCCCCTCAGAACAAGAACCGGCGACTAGCAGCCAGCTTCCCTTGTATCTCTCTCACCTGTCTCAGCATGATGGTTTACCTTCTTCCCGCCTTGGCTGTCCTGGCTTCCGTCCTTGGGGGCCCGCCCCATTTTATAAGCATAGTCCTTATTATTGTTAGAGTGGCTCTGCTTTCTTTGCCCGGAGTACTGAATTCAGTAAGCTCGCACAATGCCCCGATCTGTTTTTCTGGAGCAGAAGAGGGCGTCAAGGAATATGCAGATCCTGAGGTCTCTGTCAGCAGCGCTGTCCACCTGCTCCGGAACCTTCCTTCATTTTAATATTTCTGCAGAACTGATTTGGTTGTCCACGAGTCTCCCTGGATAGTTGACAGCTGTGAACCCCATTCAGTCCTTTAAGTGCACAGATACTTGAGCCTGAAGTTTGGGAGTTAAGAGCCTGTCCATTTCCTGTCTTCTCTGTAGCTCATTGGTCTGGGGCCGGGTGGGGTGGGGTGGGGACCTTCCATAGGCACGTGTGTGGTTTATTGCAAGGAGCAACAAGAAAGTACAGCTTTCCCACTGGCCCCTCCCAGACCAGCAGTGGGAGGCGTGGGAGGGTGGGCGCCTGACCTGCTCCCCCCCCCCCCCAGGGGTGCTGTTCAGCATCGAGGTCACCTCTACCTACTTTGCCGTCCGAAATTACTGGCGAGGCTTCTTCGCGGCCACCTTCAGTGCCTTTGTATTCCGGGTCCTGGCGGTGTGGAACAAGGATGCCGGTAAGGGGGAGGCCCCGGTGGGGGCGGTGTGGCTTGGGGGTGATGGCGAAGCAGCAGAGAGCACACCCGGAGCCCTCCAGAATGGGGCGAGCGGATGGTGCCGTCTGGGAAGCGGGACTGAGGCCTGGGGTATAGGGAAGGGTTTCATCATGGAACCACGGAAAGACGCGGGTGGGAAAAAGAGAAGAGGCGGGGGCTGAAGGAAGGGAAGACACTTGAGCGTGACCTCTCTTGCCCTACCTGTGGCTTCCCGTGAGTCCCACCCACAACGCTCCCCTTCTCATGCCCTGCAGTCACCATTACCGCTCTATTCAGAACCAATTTCCGAATGGATTTCCCTTTTGACCTGAAGGAACTTCCAGCTTTTGCTGTCATTGGGTCAGTGGGACCCCTCTTTCCGGGTGTGGGGAGCAGGGGTGGGGTTGATTGTGGACTTGCTGTGGGGTGGGGATGGGGGGACGGACTAGAGCCGGGATAAGCCGTGGAGGGAGGGTGTAAGTAAAAGCATGAACCAACCGTGAGGCCGCTGGTAGAAAGGGAGGGTGGGGGGCGCTTGTCCCTGCAGCGTGGCTCAGAGCTTCAAGCCCTGTGTCTTGCGCCCGCAGGATCTGCTGTGGGTTCTTGGGAGCTGTTTTCGTTTATCTGCATCGTCAGGTCATGCTTGGTGTCCGAAAGCACAAGGCTCTCAGCCAGTTTCTTGCTAAGCAGTGAGTCATTGCCCTTCCCCTGCCCTGCCCACTTACCATCTGACGTCCCCCAGCAGTTCATCCTGGAGGTGGGGCTTTAGGTCCCCTGAGGTCAACGGTCCTCAACGCGTGGATCTGAGATCCTGCGTGTCAGATATTTGCACTACAGTTAATAACAGCAGCAAGATTGTAGTTATGAAGTATCAGTGAAATAATTTTACGCTTGGGGGGGGGTCACCACAACGTGAGGAACTATATCGAAGAGTCGAGAACCACTGCTTTCGGTGGAGCTATGTGCAGCTGCGGGAGCCCTGATATTGTTGGTAGGGGCTCGCCATGCTGGCTCTTCCCGAGTGGTTACCTTCCTGGCAGAGAGAATACGCTTCTCTGAGAGAGTGGAAGGCTATGGCTGAGTGTGGACGCATCGTGTGCCGACTAAGTGGGGGATAGCGTTAACCCTGTTTCTTTTCCAGCCGCCTGCTGTATCCCGCAATTGTCACCCTTGTCATCGCCTCACTGACCTTTCCACCAGGAATGGGTCAATTCATGGCTGGAGAGGTCAGCTCTAGGGGCGTTGTGAGAGCAGGGGGTTAGGTCACACCTGTGGGGTTGGGACTTGAAGCCAAGGGTGGGGCTGCTGCTCAGACTCGGGGCTTATGGAGTCTTATCCAAGGGTAGACTTTCTCTTGGAGAAAGGCTGGGGATGAGTTCTCTAACACAGTTCATGGCTGGAAAACCTGGCTCCTCTGCTTCTCCCCTCACAGCTGATGCCCCGTGAAGCCATCAGTACGCTGTTTGACAATAACACGTGGGTAAAGCACATAGGGGACCCCCAAAGCCTGGGCCAGTCAGCTGTGTGGATTCACCCCCAGGTCAACGTGGTCATCATCATCCTCCTCTTCTTCATCATGAAGGTACTCTGCCCCGTGGCAGCTCCTCCACGCTTCTGTTTTCAGGAGAGGAGCCCAGACCTTGTACAGGAAGGATAGAACTTCATCTGGCCTCCGGCCAACCTACACAGAAACCAGGAGGAAACCACAGCGTAAATAGCCTGTCTATCAAAATGAACCCCACGGTGTAGTTTAATTGCCCCATTCATGTCAACTTAGTGATGCTTGCCATGACTCTAACAAGTCTTCTAGTAGTTCTACTTGTTATTTTTTTTTAAGGCATCAAAGCAGTCAAGTAAATTTGAGCAAGGTAGAGTTTAGCATTATAGATAACTGTGTAAAGAACCCCAGACCAATTAACCAAATTCCTCCCATGTGTTAGATAATTAGATACTTAATCTCCATGGATCTACTATTCACTTTCAGGTGATTACTACTCAACTCTTTTATCTCTTATCTAGAAATTTGAAGGTGATGAAATACCAAATCAGCCTTACTAATGAGTATAAATAATTCTTACAAATGTAATTATTCTCCACTTAGGCCGTGAGAGTACAAGGATTTTTCTAGACAGTTTTTCCTAACATTTACTAGTTAGAAAATAAGAGTAAATAGCTTTTATATCCTTTCTGTTTCAGATCTGTCCATCCCAAATCATGAATGTAGATGCTTCATATTACTACCCTACACAACGATTTTTTAAATTTCCAAACCTTGTTGTGACTTATATTATACCTGTTGATTGTCTATTTTTCCTTTCTGATGTTTGCTCTTTTGCTAATAGCATGCCTAAAGTGTGGATATCTCTGTCCAGCCTAAACTCTCATGCTTTTCAACACCTAGCTCTTATTTGTAATGCTTTTGTGACTCTGTATTGTATAGGAGTGCAGATCACTAATATATCGATACTGTCCTTATAATACAGTGAATTAGTTTACTCAATACATGCCATGGAGCAGCATATGACAAGCACATAACTCTTGGTCACTGGCCTTTGGCTAATTTTACATTTCCCTGTTTTTTGCTGCTGCCTGTCGATGTACTTTTCAATAATATTATTATTAAAGATAGCAGGTGGACTTACTGAATCTATAGCATCCATAGTTTACCCTTTTTGTTTCTTTCTTTAAGATATGTGACAATTTTTTTGTAAAGATATCCCAAGAATCTTGTTAGGGATTTGATATCTAGACTTTTATTTATAATTCTCATATTCTCTAATTTATAAGTTTTGGCTTTCTATACTGGCTGAGCTTTGGGGGAACATAGGGAGTAAAGTAAGGTCTTATTTTGTAACTCAGGGTAACATTGAACTTGTCCTCTCTTGAATGCTGAGATTTATAGCATGAGCACTAACACATGGGCTGTGACTTACCTGTCACGCCCGTAATCCCATCTACAGTAACCTAGTCTGTGTTTTGGTGTTATTTCAGGATCTGTGATCTGGTAATGATAGAGCTTGGTCTAATCTGTATGTTACCTTTGGGGTCATATAGACTGTTAAAATGTCAAGATTTTGAAAAGTTTTCTAAAAATAAAAATATTTTTTTCAACACTTACTCCTTACCCACATCTCCAGATTTCTAGCTATGTATCTTCACAAAGTCAAGCTTATTTCCAGAACCCCACTTGGATGGTATAGAAAGGCTCATCTGTATGTCACTATAATTAACTTCTCACTGAATTGCAGCCTGGAGAACATTCATATTGTAAGTGTATAAGGAAAAGAAACACATTCTGGGCTATATTTCAAGCCCAACAGTTTGCACAAGGTCTACAATATTCTTTAATATTTCTAATTACAAAAGTATTCCCTGCTGCAAATTCAGTTTTATCAGCCCCTGCTTCCCAGCATTTTTTTTTTTTGCCTAATCATTGGACTTACAACAGTACTCTTATTTTTTTCCAAATGTGAAAAATAGAACATGTAGCCAAATTAAAATATAAAAGTACTTATATCCATCTATTTTTGTTATGATAATTAAATGTCCAAGGAAGGGTCTACCATATAAGGAAAAGCATATTTTGGGCTCACCGTTCTGGACATCAAAGGTCACAGGGTTACACCAGTGATGGTGCTCCTGCTAGCAGAGTCCTCAGCTGTACAGAACGTCACAGCAAGGAGCACCTGTGTCTGTGTACATCTCCTCCTCCATCTTCACTCCTCAGAAAGCTGCCGGGAAGCCATCATTGACGTTTCACTTCGTGTCTGACCTAGTCCTAAACGATTCCAAAGTCTCCACTTGTAAGCACCACAGCTGCATTAGGTCCTCACCCTCTTGATATCTCACAACAGAGACGAGGTTTCCAAATGGAATCCCGTGAGACACTCAAACTATGTGCAGTCCAAAGCGGGGACTAGAACGGTATTTAAAATCTGGCCCATGTGGCCTTCTGGCAGTGTCGGTGAGGTAGGTCCCAGTCTTGGTTCAGCTGTCTCTTAATATTGGTGAAAGGAACGTCCTACTTTCCCCGTTTTCCCAATTTCAGGGTGTGCAAGGTATCATCATATTGTAAATCAAGAGATTTCCCATGAACATGATTATAATTCCAACATCTCCTCTCCCTTTTAATAAGGCTAAGAGCATTGTCTGGTTTTGTTGAGTTTCCGTGTAGGCTGAGGCTCTGTGGAAACCTTCTTGCCTGATTTTCGTATTATTCAGTCTTGTGATGGGGTCTAAATACAATGAAGTCAGTGCTAACAGGTTTCCGGTTTCTCAGTTCTTCAGAGCTGGATCTTTAAAATCTTAAAAGTTCCTTGCCTGCCACATCACTCATGGTTTTTTCCCTTCACGTGCCAACAGCTAAAAAGGTTTGCTAATCTCAGCCACCCAGCTTTGTGCCGTGGGATTTGTAACTTCAACATTACCTGTTCTTGATCTATTTGTTATACTTATCTGTGAAGATAATCTGCTTTACCCTCTGAAGTTAGACCTGTCCATCACCCGTCTGTGTCACTGGGGCTCTCAAACAACCCAAGCTGACAGAATCCCTCTCTCTCCCATGCACTTAGTCTAAAGAGATGGCACATGAGAGTGTAAGGCTTCTTGACGTGTCATCACTGAAGAAGCTTCAGCAACAAGTGCATGGAATCATGCCTCCAGGTTGTCTTCAGAGACCTCCGCTCATCTGCATTTTCAACAAGTTCTCTGGATGAACATTACTTTGGGGTGTTTTAGTGAATATTAAGCTTTGAGGATCTTTTACTGTTTGGCATGAATATCGCCCCATCAGGTTTGTGTCTTCCTTTACTTCCCTCCTGCCTACATTTATGCCACTGGAAAAGAAGGCGGAAATAACAAGGTTCACCCTCTTCCCCCAAGAAATTGTCAGGCTGCATTCTCTTCATTTTGCACATTTAACTCGAAGTTCTCAGCTGTCTTGATGGTCATATTGTGACCTGAAGCAGATGTTCTGCTTCTGCTCACATTTCTAGAGTAAAATTTCATCGGGGTCTTCATCACTGCCTCTTGGGTTCAGCTTTCCCTTAAAAACTGCTTTGTAAAGTTCATAAAGTTAAGAAATTTATTTCTCATTAGTATATCATACACATGATTCAAGGAATTGCAGATACTTCCATCTTAACAGCTTGTTAGACATTTAGCTGCTTTCATCTTGTACTCAATTAGAATGGAATCCTAAGACTGATTAAACCAGAATTACCTTTAAAACTGTGTCTCACATTTTTACCCTTTTCTTTAGATATTTACTGTTCGGCCACTCTTGTTGTTATGCTCTGTTTCTCAATTCTTTTGCATTCTTTGCCTCAGAGTGTTCATACTGCTTTTACTATAATTGTCCCAATTTCTGTTGGAATAGTGCCTTACAAAGCTGACCTTGGATATCTTTTCCTGTTATATTGAAAGACTAATCAGGTTCTCGGTTTGCCCCTGTGGTACAGCCAAGACAGATCTTTTTTTTCTTCCTCCCAGTACTGGGGATTTAACACAGGACCTCACAAATTCTAAGAATATACTCTATCACTCTGTCCCTAGGATTCAGATACAATTTTGATCCTTGTTTAAGGTGGTTTGATATCAAAGACAAAGGCTCAAACAGAGCAGTCTTCTCTTCGGGTTCCTGTGAACTCACCTTCCGCGTGGCTTTGTAAATGATCAAATCAAAGTTAGATTATCCATACAAAAATCCAGTAGACTTCAAAGTATCCACCACATTGACCTGGGGCTTTTTTATAGCAATAAGGTGAGCAGGAAAAAGCATCCTCCAGCTTAGTGTCTGGGACTACTCCACACACGTGGGGTGGGCTTGCTGAGCTCACTGGGTGAGGGTCTTTGGGGAACAGTGAAAGAGGGGTCCTCTGGGACTTCCTTGTTCTAGATTGCAAAAAGGAAAATAATAGTCACTCGACATTGGAAAGGTCTGTGTTAGCCATCTGGAGGAACTTCCTTATCCTGATGTCGTTGTTGCTCTCTCAGTCTGAAGGCACCAAGTTTTTCAGACTCTGGAGAATGGTGACAGACAAGGTTTACAGGGTTAGCCATCCCAGGACATTTCAATTGTGACTCTCGAAGAAGGAAGGAAGAGGGCAGCGAAAGGAGAGGGGCGTGCAGACGCCTTTGGAAAGAGTATCCTAACGTTTCTTTTCTGTCTTAGTTTTGGATGTCCATTGTGGCTACCACTATGCCCATACCCTGTGGAGGGTTCATGCCTGTTTTTGTCCTAGGTAAGGGTCCATGGCGTCACACTGATAGCTGTGACCTGGGTGGGTGGTGACAAAGCAGGAGAAAACTTAGCACACTGGGAGTTTGTGGTCTTAGTGCCTAAGCGCAGATTCTGCTGAAGACACAGAGACAAAGAACATTGTCGTAATATTTGCCTTCTTTATCCTCCCTAGGAGCTGCATTTGGAAGGCTGGTAGGAGAAATCATGGCCATGTTGTTCCCTGAGGGTATCTTATTTGATGACTTCCTCTACAAGATCTTACCTGGGGGCTATGCAGTAATTGGTGAGACATATTCCTAACCTCTATAACCAGACATTGAGTACCCCAATTCCCTGCAATCAAAGTCTGCTAATACGTCTCCTTTCAAGGTACAGCAATTTAGTTTAAATTCAACACTGTTTAATTCAAGTTTTGTTCAAACACCCACTCTTGGCTCTGCCTCTCGCCCTTTCTTTTTTGTAAGCCTTAGTTCCTGCCTGAGGAAAATGGATCGTAGGCATCAAATAATAAAATAGAGATGGTCCAAGACCAGCCTGGTCTACAAAGTGACTTCCAGGATAGCCAATGCTATGCAGAGAAACCCTGTCTCAAACAAAACAAATAACAAACAACAAACAAAAAAAGAAAAGTCAGGAAGGATTGGGTTCCTTGTGTTGTCTTTGCATGTTTAGTAGGCTTCCTTTTTTAAGAATCAAGGAACCAAGGCCAGGCGTTGGTGGCGCACACCTTTAATCCCAGCACTCGGGAGGCAGAGGCAGGCAGATCACTGTGAGTTCGAGACCAGCCTGGTCTACCGAGCGAGTTCCAAGACAGGCTTAAAAAAATACAGAGAAACCCTGTCTCGAAAAACTAAAAAAAAAAAAAAAAAAAGAGAGAATCAAGGAACCAATAATGCAGGTGATGGGCCCCATCCATCCAAACTGAACTATTTTCATGTTAATAGGGACTAATAACACAGAGCAGAGAAATATGAGCCTTGGACTTCAAAAATAACCTTAGAGGTAGACCTAAGAATGGCACTCTACTGCCTGATCCTAGTCCATTTACAAGAGCTTCATTTATCAATAAGAATCTTCTGTTTTCTCAAGTGTCTCTCATCTTCCATGACGCACATTTCCCAGTATACACATACTATGTAGGTTATGTTCTAAATGATGCTCTGTGCATTACCTACTAGGGTTATATCTCACAGTATTAGGCTTTTGTGACCTTTTATTGTTGTATTTTCAAATAAGCCTTCTCTTATATTTTCCCAGTGGATATTTCCATTATTTTATTTCAATACAATATTTCCATTATTTTATTTTATTTATTAGTGTTTAGGTTTTTTTTCTTAAGACAGGGTGTCTTAGTTAGGATTTCTATTGCTGTGAAGAGACACCATGACCACAACAATGCTTATAAAGGAAAGCATTTCATTGGGCTGATTGACAGTTTCAGAGGCTTAGTCTATTTTCATCATGGCAGGACATGGCAGCATGCCGGCAGACAAGGTGCTGGTAAAGGAGCGTAGAATTCTACATTTTGATCTGCTGGCAACAGGAAGTGAACTGAGTGCCACACTCTGCATAGCTTGATCACAGGAGACCTCAAAGCCCACCCTCACAGTGACACACTCCCCCAAGGTCATACCTACTCCAACACAGTCACACCTCCTAATGTTGCCACTCCCTGTGGGAGCCATTTTCTTTCAAACCACCACACAGGGTCTCTTTACATAGTCCTGGCTGTCCTGGAAGTCACGATGTAGACCAGGCTGGCCTTTCCCTCGTGTTTGAATAAGAAGTACAGTTAAAGTATGAGTGATTATTGAGTTGATAAGAAGACAACTTAAAAATACATAGGATTGTTTCTACCTTTGGACGCCTTATAGAATCATAATGATTTGGATATGTAAGAATTTTAGAAGTTATTGAGTGACATTTTCACCATGTGGATGAGAGCATGGATTCCCAGGAAAGAAAATATTGTTCATATGGTAGACGCAGTCAGGGTCTGCAGGTCCTGATCAGTGGGAGACTTGTTGCTCTATGTCCACAGCATGGCTCTAAAATTTTCATGCTATTCATTCATGAACTGTTGACACCAATCCCTGAGGCTCAAAGTAAGATGCCATTATTGGGTTTTTTAATGTCCAGTTGATAGTGAGCCAAACTTTGAAAAAGCACAGAATGGATGAGATATCACCCTCTCCACAATACAAATGAAAAGTTCTGCATGTTCGTAGATATTTTATGACTTACTGAAGGTTTTATATATATATATATATATATATATATATGTTAGATCAAATGGATAATCTGTGGAAAACCCCGGCATGTTCAACCCTACTCTTGAAAGGTAGTCATCCCGGTAAGGTTGGCACCGAGCAAGGTGCTGCCGATTCCTCTGTATCATTGTCACTGTGCCCTCAAGTATCCCCCATGCCAGGAAAGACAGCTCTAATGCATCAGTCCCTTGCTCTCATTTCAGGAGCAGCAGCTCTGACTGGGGCTGTCTCCCACACAGTCTCCACAGCGGTGATTTGCTTTGAATTAACTGGCCAGATCGCTCACATCCTGCCCATGATGGTGGCTGTCATCCTGGCCAACATGGTGGCTCAGAGCCTGCAGCCCTCCCTCTATGACAGCATCATCCAGGTCAAGAAGCTTCCCTATTTGCCAGACCTTGGTTGGAACCAGCTCAGGTCAGGGCTACTAGCTAGAATCAGTTTAGATATGCTGGCATGTGGGAGGTCCTGAAGGGGAGAACTAGGCTAGCATTGGGAAGGAAGCATGTTTTTAAAAAGTATTTTCATGTTTGCACATACTTAATAAATACTATGAGTGGAAGAATTCGTGGCAGACCTTGTGGGAAGAAGGAAGGGCCAGCACAGACCCACAGTGGGCTAACCCAGGATGCTTTCTCCCTCCGTAGCAAATTCACAATCTTTGTTGAGGACATCATGGTACGTGACGTGAAGTTTGTTTCAGCTTCTTGCACATATGGAGAGCTGAGAAACCTACTCCAAACCACCACAGTCAAGACTTTACCATTGGTTGATTCCAAAGGTAGGTAGGCAGGAAGCCGACCTCCCAGCTGGTAACCCACACAGGGTTGATTGTGCAGGAGCACCTAGCTACTTTTTTTTTTTTGAGGCAGGGTTTCTCTGTGGCTTTAGAGGCTGTCCTGGAACTGGCTCTGTAGACCAGGCTGGCCTCGAGCTCACAGAGATCCGCCTGCCTCTGCCTCCCGAGTGCTGGGATTAAAGGCATGCGCCACCTAGCTACTTTCTAACACTGATGTTAAAACAGATGAAGGGAAGAAAAGCTTACTTCTGGAGAGTTCAGTCCATTGTTTGTAGAGAGAGACTGGGGGACAGAGCATCACACATCAGGGCAGTCCAAGATGCCTAGGAAGGGAAGCCTAGAGCTCAGTTGGCTTCATCCTATTTTCCCCCTCCTATTTATCTGAAATACAAAGCCGTTAGATTGTGCTACCTGTATTCAGAGTGGATCCGCACCCCCTTGTTTAATCTCTAGAAATGTTCTCATAGAAGCACCCAGAGGTGTGCCTCACCAGTCTCCTGGGTGATTCAGAATCCAGGTAAGCTGACAGTAGGATTCACCATTGCAGGCATGGACTTGGATTTAGCGCTACCCAGCTACTAAGGGAAGCTCAGCTTATATTCATTGAAGAATGTACTTTTCTTTTAGGATATGAAAAACACAGCCATAACATATGCACACAAAAGCAGTTAAAATCCGATTAAGGAAATACAGGCAATTCTTGCTATTCAGGGCAGCCATGAATCTTAAAGTCTTCATGTGCCTGGAATTAGTGAACAGTTTTCAGAACAATTCTCTAAGAGGAAATACAGAGCTGAGTCCCTTGACTCTGGTCACAGAATTTTTGCCAAACAATCAGTACATAGCCATGTTGTCTGTGTGTTTCTGTTTTAGGATGACTTGTTTAATAGACTTTTTTTTTTTCATTTATTAACTCTGAACTCATGGCCAGACGCACTATAATCCTATCTAAGTAAAACTCACCTAATATATTTTCTCAATGAGGTAAAGCACAGCCTTCCCTTCCCTTACTTAGAATCAGTAGACAGCACATCAGCAGAACATCTAGGATATACATTGACAGTAGGGTCACCACACAAAGCACAAAGATCGCAAAGACAGTGTGGCATTACACAGACTGCTGACCGAGCACTGTTTACTCGGGCCAAAATGACAAGGCCGAGTGCTGGTTGTTCAGCCTCCACTGGGAGCGTGAGATTCAGGCAGCTAGCTCCCTTGTTGTTTGGTGCGTGTCTGTGGATTACAGCAAACCCATCTCTAGCATTAGAATCGCAGATATATCCATGGTGGGTAAGCGATTTCAGAAGTGGAGACTTCATGAACAATGGGGGTCAACTGAAAATCTTGGGCCCCTCTCCTGGCTAACTCAATCCTGTCATTTCTTTAACGGCCAAGCTAAGGAAGAGTGAAAAACGGTTCCTTGTAGAGAAGTAAATGGCTGTCACAAACGCTGGTCTCATCTTTCCTTTCACTCGCCGATCTTCCTGCCCACCAATAGCGTTTCCCTCTGCTGTGTATTCCTTCTCACCGTAGTCTGTCTTTCCCACTAGACTGGGAAAGTCCTTCAGTGTAGAGGCCATAATATCCATATCGTTAGAGTTCTAAGTAGCAGCTGGGCATTCAGCGCTCACTTCTCTTGTCTGTGAATTTGAGGGACAGAAGATAGACACGAGGAGCTATTTGGAGCCAGGAATAACGTTAGTTTTTGCTTCAGGCATTCAGAGTGTCTAAATCTTCCAAACTATTAGTTCAGACATTGCCCCTAAGCTCAGAGCCTTCCAAGTAGCTTCTGAAGCCATGACTCTTCCTTAGAGCAAAAGTGTGCAGCCAACAGGGTTAAAGACTGTCATGATGATGATAAAGATGTGACAGTAAGGCGTGTCCCAGTGCCCTTGATGCTGTGCTTAACTTACAGGAACATTCAGCCCTGTAGCAGGATGTCTGTAAACACATGAAAGACCTCCTGGAAAGGGAGTGTTTTGTTCATGCACTATCAGGGCCTCGGTGCTTTGAGGGATGAAACTTCTTCCAGGATCGAGGACCCGATGCTGGTGTTGCTTACAGACTTCTTTTGGAGTGTGTTTGTGCTCCAGACTGTTAAAACTGCCTCTTGAGTTTCATTACCTTTGCATAAGGTTAACCAGCATATTTTAATAGTGAGCTTACATATTTGCAAATACTGTACTAGGGCATCATACAGATAAGTACGGATTAGCACCAATTAGCGTGCTGCCAATTGGGTCTGTAAGTGCTAAATGCGTGAAATTAAAAGGATCAAGCGAGGCCGCGCTGGAGGAGTTTTAAGATGAATTTTTTGGTAAGAAAAGGCAAGAACTGGAGTAAGAAAAGGCTCTGAGCTCTTGCTGCGCCTGACTTGCTAGACATGTGGGTGCGGAGCAGGCCCTCAGGAAAACGTGGTTGTCCCCCAGAATCGATGATCCTGCTGGGCTCCGTGGAACGCTCGGAACTGCAGTCCCTCCTACAGCGCCACCTATGTGCAGAGCGAAGGTTGCAGGCTGCCCAGGCTATGGCTCGCACCCTATCAGAGATGCCCTATGATGGCAAGGCGCGGCTGGCTGGGGAGTGGTACCCTGGTGGTCGGCCTGAGTCCTTTGCTTTTGTGGATGAGGATGAAGATGAGGACCTCTCCAGGAAGACGGAGGTAACCAAGACAGAAGGGAAATGTCAGTAGGGGTCGCTAGTAGGGAATTTTCAGTAGGGGTCGCTGGTGGTATCTCTCCTGTGGATGGCTGGGGGCTGGGGGCTGGGGACTGGGCTGGGCTTGGCTGGGCTGGGCTGGGCTCTGGGCTGGTCTCTGAGCTGGGCTGGGCTGGGCTATGACAGGTGCTGGAAGGAAGGAAGGAAAGGACAAGGGAAACACTGAAAGTGACCATACTGGATCCAGTGCAAAAGAGGCCACTGTGTGTGTGGTGTTTTGAGAGGGGAAAAAGAAAATGGTGTGTGTGGGGGGGGGTGTACAGTTAGATCTCCCAGGACACCTGCTAGTAAAGGCAGCAAGGCATCATGAGGCCTCTTTCCTGAGACTATTTTATTTTATTTTATTAGTTTCCCCAACCTCCTCCTCCAGCTCCCCTCTTTCCTGCCACCCCGTCATACCCGGAAGAACCTAATGGGCCGCTGCCCAACCTCAAACAGCCACCTGAAGCCCCAGACCCCACAGGTAAAGACCTCTCTGCGTGCCCTGGGAGTCCTGCTTGGACTCACCTTTCGCAAAAGCTACTCTTGTAAGGAGCTGCCAGGCTAGATGGTTCTGAGAGCCACCTCTAACTGATAAATCCCATGATGCTGAGGTGCAGCAGAGAGGAGACACGGTGTCAGGGGCCATTGGAAGCACCGGGCCACCCGCACCCTCTGTCTTCTCACTGCTCCTTTCAGGTCAAAGAGCATCCACCTTCCGGCGCCTGCTGCACTGCTTGCTGGGCACAGCTCACTCTACAAAGAAGAAAATGGCGCAGGTAAGTGGCGCTGTGTCTGGGGGAGGGGCGGTGTCTCGAGCTTGTCTTTGAGGAATGACAAACCAAAGTGCTTAGAAGGGCAGAGGTCCCGCCAAGGGCGATGGTTTGAAAAGGTAGCTTATCCCACCGGACCTGCCGGGGAAGACATGGTCTCTGCTTCACTGAAAACTGTAGCTGGCCTGAGAAGAAAATGGCCCTGTGTCTTTCTTCCCTAGGACTCGATGGATTTAGTGGATAACATGTCACCTGAAGAGGTAAGAATATCCACAGCCTGGAATGGATTGTTTCATCCAGTGAAAGCATTGCTTTTGTTGTTGTTGCTGTTTTGTTTTTGAGGTAGGGTCTCACTATGCAGTTCCTGGCTGGCCTGGAACTCACTGTGATGGCCTCAAACTTACAGGCATCCATCTGCCTCTGCCTCCCAAGTGCCACCATTTTTTATTGTACCAAGAAGACTGAAAACCAGCCATTCGGTGAATGTGGCCCTTGAATGCCTGTTAGGAATAAAGTGCATCTAGGTATAAAAAGAAGGCTGATTATATATTTATAGCGCTTATCTTTCCCAAAAACAGATATTGAGGAGACATTTCTAAGGAATAAAGCCCAATAAATGTGCAACTTCTGTATATTTTGAGAGATGACAACCTTGACAGTATCAAGATGTTGATTTTGTCAAAAGTCATAGTGAGTCAAATTAGAGAAAGCATTCAGTGGCTGCACCTGCTGTGAATTAAATCTCACATTGTGAGAGCTGTGGTCTCTGACTGTTTGTTGAACTTTTCATAAGAGCCAGCTCGAGCAACATCCTGTCCGCCTTGGACAGAAACCGGTGGTGTATCGGGTGGTCAGTGCGCAAATGCTAGAGTCTACCAATTGCTGTCTTTGGAGCCTCCGGCAGACTTAGCGCCGTGCGTCCCTATGTCTTCATCTGCAAAACGCAGACGAGGGTAGACGTGTTAGAAGGAGTCAATGAGCCAAGGCACAGAGAGCAATTAGAATTCGGCCTAGTACAGACGAAGTGCTTGGCAAATGTTCTCTGAAAATGTTGCTTCCGTTGTTATTGGTGAAGGGGGCAGGGAAGCTAAGATGCTCTTTGCAACATTTCAGGCAAACATCCTCTTATACTGAGAGCCAGTTAGTTTAGGCTCCATGTAAACCTGTAGTTAGGACCATTTACAGGATGCATTACATGACACATGGAGGGGCCTCAATGTGGACTCAGTACTCAGCCCTAGGGCAAGCAGCTAGCTAGCCTTTGCTGGTGCTCTCTGAAGGTTGGAGGGCAGATTCGCACAAACACACCTGAAGTGTGACATCACTCAGTAGGACCAAAGAACAGCTTAATTTATGGGTCCTGGAGAGAGCGGCTTATCTGGCATCTTGGGTTGTGCATGTGTAAATCAAGAGGGTAGCTGGCTTTGAGCCTTAATGATTTGGCTAACAGACTGGAAAATAAAAACAAGCAAAATACAGACAGTCCACGTCAACTCAATACCAGTGGGTGCAGGGAATCTACTCAGATTCAACAAATACTCACTCTGCCCTCCACATAAGTGACAGCTTCCTCCCTACCAATGAGTGTGCAGCCAGTAGGCAGAGGAAAGGCAAGGGCCAACCTAAGGCTGAGTATAACCAACGCCGTTTCTGAAAGGCAAAGGCTCACAAAGTGTCAAGGAGTGAGAGGCATTACTGGATAGGAAAAGCATACATCCGAACGGCAGCGTCATTATGACATACGACGAAGGCTGGACGTGAGTGTTTGGAGACCAGAAGGACACAGAAGACTGTTAAGAAGGACCCCTATTCTGGGCACCTGGGGGTGAGGTGTGGACCGTGAGGCCAGATAGTGGAGAAGGGAGCTGTGGCCCTCTGAGAAGAAAAGGGTGTGCCTACCGGTCAGGAACACCTGTGGTGGTCCCTGCGTGGCGGAGCTGAGCTCCTGAAGTTGAAGGGGGGGGGGGGGGTGTCTTTGTGACGTTCTGTCAACAGATCGAGGCCTGGGAGCGGGAGCAGCTGAGCCATCCTGTGTGCTTCGACTGCTGCTGTATCGACCAGTCTCCCTTCCAGCTGGTGGAGCAGACCACGCTGCACAAGGTAAGCCCTCGCTGGCCGCTCATCAGGGCTATGGGGCGGGCGGGAGTGGGGGACACGCTGACCTGCGCTTTCCCCCCCCCCCCCCGCCAGACTCACACGCTCTTCTCGCTTCTTGGCCTCCATCTTGCCTATGTGACCAGCATGGGGAAGCTCAGAGGCGTCCTGGCTCTGGAAGAGGTAAGGATGCCTAGGCCCCATTGACCAGAGAGAGGGAGGAATGGACTCAGGACTGGGGGACGTGGGTGGGGAACCCGTAGTGCAGAGATATCCCTCCAGAAGGGAGAGCCTGCGAGGCATGTCGTGGTCGGAGTCCTCCAGCTCAGGAGGGACCCGTGTGGTCTTCTCCCGGTGGCCTGGCTTGGGCCAGCTCTAGGGAGGGATGTGGGAGCACGCCCACCCGCCGGAGGTGCGAAGCAATCACTGGGAGGCTCCCGGAGGCGCTTTCTCGGGGTGGCTGGGGGGGTAGGAGGTGTGCGGGCGGGCGGGCGGGTGCAGCTTTGCCTGTCTTTCCCCATGGCTGTTCCCTGGCGGGTTCTGCTTCTGCCATTCTTCCCATCCCTGCCTTGTCTATTCCCTCAGGACTATCCTCTTTCTCTCTCCCATTGTCTGTTTCTTCACCTCTCCTCCCCAGCTACAGAAAGCCATCGAGGGCCACACCAAATCTGGGGTGCAGCTGCGCCCTCCTCTTGCCAGCTTCCGGAATACAACTTCGACTCGGAAGAGTGCTGGGGGTCCCCCGCCTCCCTCAGAGGGCTGGAGTCTGCCTGGGGGTGGAGACGGGGCTCCTGGGACAGAAGGCATGGTCCCTCCCGTGCCGGAGACTCCTGTACCACCACCGTCCCCGCCGTCCCCAGAGGCGCCTCGCTGCATGGCCCCAGCCAGAGTGGAGGCTGAGCTGGAGGAGCTGGAGATGGCGGGAAGCCAAGCGCCTGAGGAGGATGACCTGGCTGACATTTTGCATGGGCCCAGCCTGCGGTCCACTGATGAGGAGGATGAGGATGAGCTGATCCTGTGAAGAACCAAGCTCTCTTCAGAAAAACAAAAACAAAACCACAGGGCCCGTGCCAGAGAGTGGACTCATGTGTGACAGGGGTGCCTTGAGGTCGGGGAGGCCCCCCCTTCATCTTGTTCCTACCCCCACTGTGAGAGGTGATGTCTTAAAGAGAACCTGACCTTGAGAAAAGGGAGGAATCTGGGTCTGTCACACCCCTTCCGTCATTTCCAGGCAGGGCTCAGGGCCCCCGTGCTTGGAAGAGCCCTGTGTTTTCCTGCTCTGCAGGTTCAGTCCCCATCGGGTCTTTAACCTCCCAGGGCTCCCCGTGTTGCTCGGTCACCGCCCTAACCCTGCTGGTCTAGGTTTCGATGTCCGCGTGGAATTGAGAGTGGAGACCCAGACTGATCGACTCTGCAAGTGCCGCACTGGAAGGGGCGAGGGACCCACAATATCGCCCGGTGGACTGGTCCCCTTACGGCGTGCCCGCCCCCAAGCCTGCCAGCCCGACTGTCCACCTGTTAGCTCTCCACAGTCCGTTTCCAGACCCCGTCCTTACTGTCACTGCCTCATTCCCAGGCCAGGCCCACTTTTTCAGAGCTGAGAGAGCCAACTCTTGGTTCCAGGGAACCAAGTACATACAGGCCCCCGGAAAAGAGGGGACAAAGGCTCTGTGTGCAGAGGAAAGTGTCACGGCCCATTGTGTGTGTGTGTGTGTGTGTGTGTGTGTGTGTGTGAGACCCCCACGGCGGAAAGCTCTCTTGTGTCCACTGGCTGTCTGCTTAGTTCCAGGTTACCCCTAGAGCACGCATACTCCGTCTCACCCGCTGCAGTGGCCGGCGAGCCTGTCAACGGTCGCCTCTGCCTTGGAGTCACCCTTCCTGGGCCCACTCCTCCCCAAGCCTCAGTAAGGCTCTCATCTAGCAGTGGGTCACGCAGATTCCAGACGCCGATTCCAGTTCCTTATAATAGCTCTTTGGAACCTGTTGGCATAGACCTGGGGGTACCCTTGGGGTGGCAAGCTTCAGCTTGCCCCGCCCTTAGAGGACTCCCATGCTTTTCCTTTCAAGCCACCCAGGAGCTTGGTAGCTGTACTGCACAGCAGCAGCTTGCTTCACCTAGAAAGAGATGCCTGTGCTCTGAGCATCCAGACGCCCGGCTCCACTCACTGTACGCCTTTAGTTCTGCACCCCAGCCCTCAGACGTTCTCTGTAGGCCCCTCCCCCTTGCCCAGGTCTCCTCTGCGCCCCCCCCAAATAAGACACTCATAGTCAGAGGATGCCGCCACACTCTGTTTAGTGTCGTTGAGCACAGCCTTCTCCAGCATGGGGTCCTTCCACCTCCCCAGGCCAAGGAAGACACTGAGGCCTAGGTAGGAGAAACAGCCGGGGGCGTCCAAGCCCATGCCCGTGTGTGTATATAATCTATAATACTTTATATATATTTATTTATATTTATATAGAGTTCTCTCTGCAATATATGTCATAGAGTCCTTCCTGGGCCTGGTGTGAGTTCCACGTTAAGGAAACATGCTAAGACTGACCATAAAAATGGGTATGTCTCAGACCTGGAAGACAGAGTGTGGGATATAAAGGGGGTGAGGGTTCCCTCCTTGACACAAGAAAAATAAGGGAGGTGTGTGAACTGGGGAGGGCGATGGAAGGGAAGAATGGAAGGTTTGGATTTTCATTTAATAAAGTCAGTTGAAAGTGAAAGTGTACCCCCCTAAAAAAATCATTCAGCAAGAGCAGTTTCATTCACAAGAATATAAAAAAACAGCCCTGCTCCCCAGCTGCTGTAAAACGTGCTGCACAGCCTTTAACCCCAAAGGAAAAGCAACCCTTCCCACCCACCCCTAACAGCCTCTTCCTGCACATGCTCCACCCCTCCCCTTAAAGTAGGCTAGAAGCAAACCCCCATGCACCCTGCCCCAGCACCAGAGAGGCGGTCCCTCCCTCCAAAAAAAAAAAAGAGTTCAAAACGGTCCTGGGCCAGCTCCTCAATCTTCTCTCTTCAGAGTGGGGTGGGCCTCACCACCGTGGTGGCAGCATGCCAGCAGCCTGGAGAAACCAAGGCCCTGCTCGGGAGCAAACCCTACTAGGTTCCTTCAGGCCTTTTGTAGTCTTTCACTGGGGACCATTTGGCTTCCTTGAGGAATAGGAGGAGGAAAGAAAGCAGTCTTCCTAACTCTCGGGGGTCCTGAGCAAAAGGGAATCAAAGTGAATAAACCTGCTCACTGGACTCGAGGTCCACCATCACCTGGGGGAAGAATGCGGGGGGGGGGGAGGGGCAGAGATGAGACACAGAGCAGGATAAACAAGGCAGAGAGAACCCCCCCCCCCCGGGAGTAGGTTAGCTTGAACATGCAAATTCCCAGGGGGGCTAGGACAGGAGACGGGTCAGGGGCAGTTACCAGAGTTGGCAGGCTAGCCCTTCCTAGTCCTAGAAATGAGGTCCTGATAGGCTAAACCACAACACACTAGCAAACACGAGGTATCTTCTCCCATTCAGGCAGCGATAGATGAGCTAAGTGACTGTTCACCTACCTTGGCTCTCCAGGTCTACTCCCATGTTTCCTACATCAACAGACCCCAGGCTCCCAAGCTTCCCCATCCCCTGGAGGATGTGGGACACCTACTCCGGATACACTTCAGCGTATGAGTGCGGAGCAGGACGGAGTAACGGAATAGCAGAATCACTCCCAACTCTGAGCCTCATCAACCCTGTGGGTGGGGGGAGTACTTCAGGACCTCTGACGGTTTAAAGTGGAACACAAAACCTTGGGACTGGAGCCTCGGGCAGACAGGAGGACGAAGAAGAGCAGGGTGACGAGCTTGGACATCTCCTATCAAAACTCCACTTATGCCGAGGGCCATACTCAGGCTGCAGCTGCTCCAGCACCCGCATAGCAATACTACACTGACCTTCAGCTGTTCCTTGTCCCCACTCCAAAGGGGATGTGGGAGCGCAAGCTTGTGTCTCACCACCACCAGCCCCATAAGGAACAATGGATGAAGGAGCCCTGCGAGCCGCTGACAAAAAAAAAAAAAAGCAGAAAGAGCCAGTGTCCACCCTAGCCCTCAGCAGCCAGCCCGGCCCAGCCCAGCCCAAAGGCAGTGACAGCACCAGACTCCCCACTCCACTCTGCTCAACCCTGAGTCCCCAAGAAGTTATAAAAATGTAGAAAAGGCAAAGAGAAAAGTGTAAACAGCTCCAGAGGGTAGGGAAAGGTAGAGGGAGGCCCGGCCCTCATGGTACCCCCCCACTGACGGGGGTACACTGCATCCTAGGTCAACAGTCTGAGACTGATGCCTGCTGGCCCTCCTTGGGTCTGGGCTCCAAACGGAAGAAGGCAGAGAGGGAAGCCAGAACTGGAGTAGCCAACCCCATTGGGCCTTCTCCCAGACCTTTAAGGTCCTCCTTCCGGCCACAGGACATCCAAGTGGCGGTGTTTATTCTGTCTCATCGGTGACCCTCTTGTCTCCGAGTAGGCTTTGGATATAAAGAAGCATACTGCAACCCCTGTAATCCCAGCTGCCACGCCCATCTTGCCGTTGGCTCCCGACCCCCCCGAAGCCAGAGGTGGCCTGAATCGGGCACACTGTCTATGCTAAACACAGAAGAGCCGTTCAGGCCGCCCTGCCGACCCTGCCAAGCCACGTCCAACAGCCCCTGAGGCCCGCTTCCCGCAGTGGGAACGCACCGACGCCACGGCCAGAGAAAACAGAAGTCGGGAAAGCAAGAGTGAAATGGAGAGAAAGGAGGCATTCAGACAGCACAGCCAAGCCTCCTGGAAGACGAAATCAGGGGCGTGTAGGAAGTGAGATCCGGTGTTCAGCACGACGCACCGGCGCACGGACCCAAGAGCCATGGCTCGTCTCCCACCACCGGGCCAGGTTCATAGCCGCCTGATTGCCTGGGTCTCAGTTCCTGGAATGATGGTTTCTGGAGTACAAGCCTAGATAAAAAAATCCCTGCTGGTCCTTCACTTTCCAGGGCTGCTAGTGGAAGCTCCCGGTTCCCTGCTGTCTTCTGCCCGGGGTTTCATCTGTGCTGCAGGAGCTTGGGGGGCGCCGGGTATGGGTTGCAGCCATGGCCCCTCAGGTCAGTGGGGTGGGAAGAAGCTAGTTGTTGGCATCCCCCTCCTCCTCATCAAAGGACTGCACACCCGAGGATGTAACGTCAGACACCTTCCGGCTAAGAGCGGTGGACATCTCCGGGTCTTCTCGTGGGGAAAGCGACTCCAGGTCCCGGCATCCTGCATCCTCCTCCTCCTCAGGGGCCAGTGGTCTCTTCTCTTCCTCTACAGATCCCCTGGCCAGGTCCACCCCACCAACCTCTGGCGCCCAGTCAGTGTCCACCCCCAACAAAGGCGGAGGCTCGAGGGCAGAGTATCCTGAAGCAGGTTGGGAAGGCCCCATGTCATGCAGGCTGGGCTGTGAGTCATCGAATGCAGGGCCAAGATAGGATCCCGTGGCTGGAGATGCAATGAGAGACTGATCGCTAGCTTCCCAGGCGTCTGACGACCCCAGGCAGTACATGCCCTGGGACACATAGGAGTGAGGCCATCCATCCACGGGGGCTTGAGCTAGTGCGTCTGAAAAGAGAAACAGCAAGGTTGGAGGAGCCACGGAGTATCACGGGCAGCGAGAGGAGCCCACAGAGCTGTCTCTCGGTGATGACACAGGCATGCAGGCGCTGGAGAAGGGGAGGCAAACGGGAAAGCCCTAAGAAAACAGAAAAGGGTAGAGGGAGCCTAAATTGCTGGGAAGCCTCTGAGGCTTCAGGGGCTGTGGTCTAGAACCGTCTCTCACCCTGACTCTCCATCAGCTCCTGGTAATTGTCACTGTAGTTGCAGTCCAGTGGCTCCTGAGTAGAATTGACGCTCATGTCCTCACCATCCATGGAAGACCAGGCCATAAGTGTAGCCTCAGAAATAGCAAACTGTTCCATGACCCCTATGAGAAGAAATGAAATTATCATTAAGAGTCCTCAAGTAACCCTTAGGCCCCTGAAAGGGGCGTGGAGAAGCCTGGTACAGCATGGAAGTAAAATACAAACCATGTATCATCTCATTCAAGAAAACTAAACAGAAACAAGTGAAATTAGTTTGTAATAACAAATCTTATTTAAGTCAATATATAACCAACATAAACATAATTAATGAGGTATCTTACATTCTTCATATGAAGTCTCTGAAATTCAGTTGGTACTTCACTTATATCACATCTCCACTGGGACAGGTCACATTACGAATTTCCCATGTAGCCGGTGGCTACCCTATTACTCTGAAACAAGGCTAGACCGTGGGGGGTTTTCCAGAAGATCACACTTAGGATTCCTAGTCGGGGAAAAGACTGGCTCTGGGTGAGAAACCCTGGAGACTAAAGTTAGGCGTTCCAAAAGTTTGTCCTTGGAGGCTATAGAGAGTTAGAGAGATGGCTTGGGGGTAAAGAGAGCTTACTGCTCTGGTGGAGGGACCTGAGTTTGGTTCCGAACACCCACGCCAGGCAACTCACAACAGCCTGGAGCTCAAGCTTCAGGGCCTCCAACACCCCTGGCCTCCAAGGTCTCTTGCATGCATGTGGACATACACATATGCAGACAAAAAACATATGAGCATACATGAAATAACAGATATATTTTTATCTAGGACAGAGGAATCTAGATAGTAGGTAAATGAAGGGTTCCCAGGAGAGCCTCAGGTGAACGTGGGACCCCAGTCATGTAAGGGACTACTATATCAAGAGACGGAAAGCAGGGAGGGCATAATAGTAAGGATGAGAGTATGGCGGGTCTCGTCCAGTCGGAACTGTAAGCTGAAGCTTCCGTTGCTGTTCTTTGTCCTCCCTCTCTGCCCTCCACCCCTGTCATCCAGCTCCAGACTTCCTCCACCACCCTCCACCTGTACCACCACCACCACCACCACCACCAACACACACACACACACACACACACACACACACACACACACACACACACACACACACACTCACACACTCTTCTCTTCAGACCTACCCCTCTTCTTGGGTATCTTCCTCAAACCTGTCAAGGGGGTTAGTTCACCTTGTATGTGCACCCCATACTTGCCGTCAGACCCGTATCACCGCCACGAGAACTAAAACACCATCTCCAGGGCCATTCCCCTTATAATCATCCACTAGCTGTCACAGTCGCGAGTCCAGTAAGTCAGTTCGTGAAATCAAATGTTTACGAGCATGGGCTAGAAGAAATTCCAGAGGCCTCTCTCATTTTTAGAAACAAATATTAAGCAGAGTCATCTGAAGTTCAAGGCCCCTGTGTTTTCCTGTGTACTGAGAGCGGCCGGGGGAAAGACAGTGCCATACCAGAGGAAAGAAGACATCTGGGACACATGGCTTCGCAAATCTCATCCGAGTCCCATTTTCTAAGGGACCATAATAAAAATATATTGGATAACCCTTATCAGAATTAACCCCCCCCCACACACAAAACCTTGAAATCAAGGCTGTTAGGAAACGTGAGCCTGTGGTCAACATGCAGGGAGGCCATTTTGCCATCAGGGAACAGACTGGAGAGTCAGCCTCTAACCATCCAAGACAAAACCAAACGTATCACTTGAGGGCTTGGCATACAAGTACCTGCCAGGAATCGAGCCTCCTTCTCTCCATCGCTGAGGTCAGAGTAAGCGTCTGTATCCCTGCGCACAGCCTCGTGGCTGTGCTGTGGCTGAATGGTTGGGGCCTTCCCCCAGCCCTGCCACTCAATCATGTGGGCCACCCGCCCTTGCCCCATGGCGGTAGGCTTTGTCACGTGGTCCTTCATGCTTCTGGAGATCCCTACGGGAGTCAAACAACACCCACATCCATCAGGACCTCACACACAACACTCGAGGCGGATCCTCCCATCATCCCCACCCAGGTTCCGTGGGACCCCACCCATCGGAGAAAAGTGTCTCCCTGACACCCCGAGGACAGGGGAGGCTTGACAGAAGAGCAGGTGTTTCAGAGTTGTGAGGATGGGCTCTACAAACACCTTGAGGAGCAGGGGCCACAAGGAAGACCCCGTCAATATTCCCATGTCCAGGTTTGGTGCCTCACCTGAGAACGATGACTTGGCCAGGGCCCCAATGCCATAGGCGTTAGAGTTTCGCTTAAGCTTGGGAAGGATGGAAGTGGTGTCCTCCATGGAGAGCTGGGACAAGGACGGTAAGAGAGTGGGCAGAGGAATAAGAAGACTTGGGTACCTTACATATAGAATAGAGATTTTGGCTCCCGGGAAGGTGGATACCCAAGGGAGCAAGCAACAAAGAAAACCAAGGAAGTATATACGTGGGCACACCCCTGAAAACTATGGGGGGTCAGCAGAACAGGGGAGGGCTCGTGCATCTTGCCTACAGAGGGTCCCAATGAACATAATGAAAGAAGGGTCGGGGTAGGTTGAGGAGGGCTAGAGGTGGCTACACTCACGTTGATGCCGTCCCAGGAGAAATCTGTCCGCGTTTGCTGTAGGAGAGAGGAAAGGAGAAGGTATCTGGGCACCCCTGCCTTCCTCGGAGGGACTTCCAGATACCCCACCCACAGAGAGGTAGTCCTTCCCGAGGCTGAGAAAGATCCCAGCGTGGGGCATTCGGTGTGTGTTTCAGGGAAGCAGGAAGATGAGGTCTGTTTGGGTCTACAGGAGCGTTTGGGATGTTCCTGCAGAATTTATGAAGGGACTTTCCCCTTGGGGCTTTACGGGATGATGAAAGTGGCCAGGCAGCTAGGAACCTGGGCGAGGCTGTTGTAGTGGCTGGTCTCTGAAGTGCCCAGCCTTACCTCCGTCGAAGGCCGATGGAGGCTGCTGCCGTGCAGCGAGCTGGTGCTGTCCATGTTGAGCTGGTCCACATCCTTCAGGCCTTTCCAGTCCACGGCGATCACCTCGTTCCCTGAAGCAGCCGGGCCCCCGGGAAGGTTAGTTGCTCACCCTCATCCCCCTGGATCTTTGCTTGCTCCCTTCCCATGAAATGGCAGAGGCCACACCCTAGGGTCCAGCCCTTCCTCCCCTGCCCCCCCCCAGTGTCACACCTTCTCACTACCCGTTTCCTTCTGTGACTTTACCATCCCCACATTTCTGGTGAGAGAAATAATAAGTGAAGCAAAACACTCATTTTCAGCTCAATGGGGGAATAACACACTTAGGGGAAAAAGGAAAATGCTTCCTGGCCCTGTCTAGTGTTGTTTACGCAGAAAGGGAGGGAGGGGTCAGAGATTTGTTTTGGATCATGAAAACCATTTTCCATTCTGTGCCGAGGAATCCTTGAGATTGTCTTTCTTGGACCCGGACTTCTCACAAATTGACTGCCCTGCAAACAAGGGCACAGCTTTCCAGGAGAAGCTACTCTACTGTGCAGCTGGCTTCGACGTTTGAGGGATGAGAGGGATGTGACTTTCCCCTTTGGGCCTCCCCAGTAGTCAGGGAGCGTGGTTGACAGGAAAAGATGTGGTGGGTTATGGTGGGGACAGAGGCAGGTTGTAGGTGACAACTTGACCCCCACCGGAGCCAGAGAACTCGAAGTTGAGATGGAGACTTTGAGCCCAATTCTCTCTGGGGGGGGGACAAGAGATGGATTCAAGAGCAGAGAGAGAGAGAGAGACAGACAGACAGACAGACAAACAGACATGAACAAGAAACTAGAGGACTTGTGGTTCGAGAGCTAAAGGAACAGGAATCCAGGTGAGTGGACAGAAGACAGTGTGTGTGTGTGTGGGGGGGGAGGTGACCAAGACACTGAGAACTGCTGGAAAGTGAGGGACCAAGGGAAACCCCTGACCTGAGTGCAGGGAACCCTCTGGGAGTCTTGGGGGAAAGGTTTCCTGAGTATTTACAGAGAGATTCAGCCTGGGCCATTTACCCTAAAGCCCTTGCCTACATGAACTTTTGGATTTAGGATTTATAGGTCCCTTCTCTGGAAGAAGCGTATTGACTGGGTCTTGGTCATGGAGAGGCATTCAGCACGGGGCGATAGAACGAAGGTGGGTTGGAGGTCCCAGGAACCGACAGGTAGGGATCTCCATATACCCCAGCTTGTTCTGGTTTCTCTTGGGATCTTGTGAAATGATGAGGTACGTGAGACCAAGACCTGTGGCTGGGTCAGAGAGGAGAGACAGCTGGACCTAGCGGTGATGGGGCAGGCAGGGAAAGCTCTTGGAGGAGACTGCCTGCAAAGGAGAGGGAGGGGAGGTGGCCTTTGAGGAAGAGGGGGAGCTGAGTCAGAGCCCTGGGGAGGGGGGCAGGGAGATGGAGGGCAGGAGAACGGGGGGGGGAGCAGAGGAGGGTCTCCATGGAAATAAACTGGGATTCAGAAACCAGGCTTCTGGAGAGTGAGTTTGTTTGTAATAATAATACAAATTATTCTCTCAGCCTGAGGTCACTAGGGCGTGTAGGCGGGAGAAATTGGGAGTTAGGAAGGGGAAAATTGGGGGGTTTGGGAGAGGACTGTATTAAATGTGTTCAGCCCTAAAGTGGAATGGATGCGTGGGGTGGGGGTAAGGAGGTAAGGGGGCGGTAGCAAGACAGGCTGGAGGAAGAGAACCACTAAGGAGGCGCCTTTCTTCCCTCCCCCTGTCAAAGGTAAATAAAGAGCCGGCCCTGCCCCGCCTGTCCCCCGCTGACAGGTGCAAGAGGGCCGGGGGGCTCCTAGGGGGACCCCACCCTTCTGGGAGGCGGACTCCCATCCCCTCTCGGGGCGGTAAACCTCCACCTCCTCTCCCCGAGTCCACGGTTCTCCCCAAGCACCCCGGCCCAAGCCCATCATTCCCTCCGGGCGTGGAACCCGTTCCCCTCCCGGTGGCACACGCTCTTCCCGCCCCCGCCCCAGAGGGAAAATGCACGTGAACAAAGCAAATCCGGCGGGGGAGGCAGGAGCGACGGGGGGGAAAGGCTACCAAGAGGGAAATGGTCGGGGGGCAAAACACACAAGCCTTATGGAGGGGACGGTGGAGGGGCGAGGGTGGGAAGGCGCGTGCGGAAGAAGAAAGTCAGGGCTGAGGCTGGGAAGGAGGTTCTGAGAGGAGGGGCTGCTCCAGAAAGAGGGGCGCCGCCGGGAGGCTCCGACCACAGCGGGGTACAGACGTGTATGGCCTGGGGATGGAGGGATGGGGCCGCCCGGGAGTAGTGAGCAGCGCCGGAGCCACGAAGGAAGCTGGCGGAGAGGCAGTCAGGGAAGGACCGCGCCTGCGGGAGGGCGATGGAGAGGAGAAGGCAACCAACCGGCCGAGAGGCAACGGGAACCCCGGGGAGGCGCGAGGGCAAGAGGGATGGAGGGACCACAGCGGATGGAGGGAAAGTGAAGGCGCGAGGCAGGGCCGGGCGAGCCCGGAGGGAGGTCCCCAGCCAGGGGCGAGGATGGGGATGGGGGATGGGGGGGGAGAGCCGGGAGGAGAGCATCCCCCCCCTCCTCCCGGGAGGGCGAGCTTGCCCCTGACCCACGCCCGGCCGCCGTACCCACCCACGGTCCGCGAGCCGATGCAGCCCATGGCTCCGGGGGCCGCCGGGGCCCGGCCCTCACCGACTCGGGGCGCGCGCCGGGGGGAGCAACGGGAGCCGCGCCGCCGCCGCCCCAGCCGCTCTGCAGCGCCGCGGCTGTCTCCGCTCGGCTCCGCTCCCCCCTTCCCTCTCCATCCCTCCCCACGGCAGCCTCCGCCGCCGCCGCCGCCGCCTGGCTCCCCCCGCGCCCCGCTCCGCTCCGCTCCGCTTTCGGCGGCCGGGGAGGGGGCTGCTTGGGGATTGGCTGCGCGCGGCGCCTCCCCGCCCCGGCCCCCGGCCGGCCGCCGCGCTCCCAGCGCCCCTCGCCGCCCGCGTCCCTTCCCTGCCTGTCCTTCGCAGCCTCCGCCCCAGGGCTCCTCGCCCCATCCCCGCTGGGTGCTCCCGGGAGATGCTGATGGAGAGTGGCTAATAACCGGTTTTGGGTCTCAGGAGCCGGGTCAGGGACCCAGGGCCCACCCGCTAGGGTCTGCTCGGTGGACTTTGAGGTCTGGGGAGGGGGGAGCGGGTAGGGGGTTAAGAAGGCCATGAGAGAAAGCGGGGTGGAGACGAGAGGACGCCCTGCTTGCTGAATAGCCCTGGGTACCAAACCCCGCAAACGCTTGTTTTTCTCTCCGCGGCTGCATCTGGGACGCACGAATCGGGATTGGACGCCGTTCTGGTTCGCCCTGCCGTTTCACGTGCGTTGTTTTGCCCACCCAAACAGATCGTAAAGTCGTTGCCCAGTGCATGCTGAGGGATGCTTCCCTGTCCTTTAGCGGTTCTGGGATGGGTGTGGGGCTGGAGCTGGTCATGTAGCTCTGGGCCTGGGTGGAGATGGAAGGAGAACGGGAATGATTCTACTGCAGCCACAGACGAGTGAAAATAATCAGGACCCGAAGCCGACAACAAGACATTGATTTTAAATCAGATTTAACTTTTCTGAGCCTTAAAGTGGATATCCGGAAGCAGCAAAGGGAGTATACTGCCCCCTGCCGAGAAGGGTCAGCACGACGACACCACCACCACCACCACGAGCCCTGTGGGAAAGGAGAGTCGAAGGGGCACTGTTATCTAGACATTTTCGTCTTAACTGCAAATTGTGAGCAAGAAGAGAAGCAAACACTAATTTAGGATACAAATCTGTAGGTTTTGTATCCTTCCTGGGTCCAGAGGACATGGGCAGGTGCCTTTCAGGATTAGAAGAAGAGAGAAAGGACAAGTATTTTTTTTCTTTCCTTTTTTTTTTTTTTGTTTGTTTGTTTTTCTCGAGACAGGGTTTCTCTGTGGCTTTGGAGGCTGTCCTGGAACTCGCTCTGTAGACCAGCCTGGCCTTGAACTCAGAGATCCGCCTGCCTCTGCCTCCCGGGTGCTGGGATTAAAGGCATGTGCCACCACCGCCCAGCCAAAAGGACAAGTCTTATAGATGTAAGTTTGTGACATTTAGATGATGATTACAGAGTTACAGCCTATGAAATCTCAAATGAACATGCCGGAGAGGATATGAAATGCCTGAGACCAGGAAGTTTATAAAGACTAGAAGTCTGTTTGGAGGCTGGGAAGGTCAAGAAAGAGCCTGGTTTAGCAACTGTTACAAGTGTAGTAAGGGTCTTCATGCATTCTAACACTCAGAGGACATCACATGGTGAGGCAGGATGAATATGTTAGTGTCAGCCACTAGTGCCAACCCCTGTGACCTCACCTAATCCTTATTACTGCTCTGAGACCCTGTCTCCAAATACCATTAACATATGAATTCAGGGATTGAGCCAAGCCATGGATTTGAAGGGTCCTTTGAGACACCCACAGTAACTATAGATCAGGAAGGTGGACTTAGAAGAGAGGAGCGCGGAGACTTGGTTCTGGCCAGCTGCCTCCTGATCTCCACAAAGACAGTGAGTTACTTCTCATCAATTAGGGGCATTCTCTCCTACTCTCTGAATCTTCTGATCCAGGACTTAAATTGTTCCTGATCTCAGAACCGAAACAAGCTTTCCAGAAAAACGACTTGACAGTACTGGTCCAGTATATAAAAATATTTAAAACTGCACCTGCTCTTACACATACATACCTTCACACAAGCTATTCGGGAGACCTATTGGAAGGGAGAGTTCAGAAGGGCTTGGGTGAGCGCTTGCTTAGACTCTGCGAGGCCCTGGGCTCAGTTCCTGGGAACACACCTTGTCCTGGTTTGCTGTTTTCTTCTGTGATAAACACGGTGACTGACGGGTTTGTTTCATCTCTCGCCTCGTGGTCCATCCTCCTGGGAAGTCAGGGCAGGGGCTCCAGGCAGGAGGCTGAAGCAGAAGCCACGGAAGAATGCTGCTCACTTACTTACTCCCATGACTTGCTCAACTCACTTTCCTAAAAATAACCCAGGGCCATCTACCTGGCCAAACTTGGCACCACCCACAGTGGGCTGGGTACCTGAGACTTGCCTACAGGCCAGTCTGAAGGACACATCTTCTCAATTGAGGTTCCTTCTTCCCAGATGACTCTAGCTTTGCCGATTTGACAATAAAAACAAACAAACAAAAAAAAAACAACAAAACTAGCTCACTCACGGGCACACACACTCCTTAAATCCTTAACATATGCAATGCTTTCGTTGTAAATTATTATAAAATTATTCTTTTTATAAAAATATTCTGAGGAAATAAAAATACAATATGGGTGGACAAAAATTTAACCTGCATCTCTTACATTATGCCTGAGACGAACTAGGTAAACTGTGGTACTTACCTGTAATAAAATAATGTGGCCCTTAATGTTTCATTAACTACATTAGTCATCACGGATAATCATGCATAGCAGATTTTAATACTATTAAAAAGCAGGCTTTAAGCCGGGCGGTGGTGGCGCACGCCTTTAATCCCAGCACTCGGGAGGCAGAGGCAGGCGGATCTCTGTGAGTTCCGGGCTGGACCGACAGCCTCCAAAACAATACAGAGAAACCCTGTCTCGTAAAACCAAAAAAAAAAAAAAAAAAAAAGCAGGCTTTAATGTGAAACTACAGCTTTTAGTTTTTTTTTTTTTTAAATACATGCCTTCCTGCCTTCCTGGTATTAGTCTTTCTGTCTAAGAAATTGATGGAATGATGGAATTTCCCGAGGATTGCTCATGTTAGACACAACTCCATCCTAACCAAAGATTACAGTTTGACCCTGAGCAAAACCCTTGCATTAATTGCTTCAGGCCCAAAGTCTCCAAATCCAAGCCCTTGGCAGAATGCCCCCCCCCCGTGTGACACTCCTAACTGCTTCCCTTTGGGAAACAATCCCAAGGTGAAACATGTCTTCCCTCCTCTTCTCACTGGTGCACACCCGTGTCCTTGGGGCAGCTCTTGGACAGAAGGACACAGTTAAGTTCAGGGACAATACTGTGCATTATGGATCCATGGACAGAATGAAAAACACATAGACTTGTGTGGGAAGAAACTAGCGGGTAACTGAAATTCTTCTTTTACTTGAGCTGCACATGTAGGCGGTAAAACCACAATGGTGCTAACAGGTAGTGTGTCTTTATCACCACAGTCAAAGCCACAGATGCTTATACTACAAAAAAGTCACTGGAGCCGGGCGTTGGTGGCGCACACCTTTAGTCCCACCACGCAGGAGGGAGAGGCAGGCGGATCTCCGTGAGTTCGAGGCCGGGCTGGTCTACAAAGCTATACAGAGAAAAAAAAGTCACTGGAAATTTTTTCTATGGTATTCTTTACATTCACCTCACCACTCCTTTTGAAATTATTAAAAATATATTTAAAG